TTGAATATATTTTGACATAAAGGTCGAAAAGACTTGGAATTCTGATGTTTGTTTTAATGAAACCCTTCTTGCAATTGGATTGGCCCCCTGCCGAGCTGGAAAGAAAGCATTTAATTTCAAGATTTGGCGTAATGATGTACGTATGGCTGGCCGGAAAGTCATGACTCGGCGAAATGATAGTCGCGTTAATTGGCAAAATTTCGCCACTGCCTCCATCCGCAGGAAGGATTGCGCCATCTATATGAAGCTTAAAATGTTAACTCTTTATTGACCTATAAACACATGTGGTGATACAATTCTCTACGTGGTTCCACCGCGTAAATTTTTTTGGGCTTGATCCACGAGGGTTAATAGTCTTATTTTTAACTTCTAAACTTAAATTTATCTCACTAAGCCTACCGTATCATAAAGCTTTTTCTGTGCCTCAGGATACAATAAAGTCAATCCAAATATTGCGTGACTAAAAACGTAAGCTTTTCAACAAATTCGATATTTTTTTGTATCAATACATTTTCAACTTCTGCGGCCTTTGTTTTATTCCGACCTAAAAAATTAAGTCGAGAAAGTTAAGTTTTGGGAACAAACAGCTCTGCTTTGCGAGCAAACTGGCTCCCGCCGTATACATGTATTATCGACACTGATTGTGGGGCGGGGAGTCAGTCCACCCTGCGAGAACGGAATTATTGTCTTGCAATAACATAGTACGCCGACGTGAGAGCTTCCTACTCGAAATAGCGCCCTCCTATTCTGCCTAGAGGCAAAGGGCGTCAATTAATCGCTTCTCAAAAGTTTTTTTTGGGGGGTGGGGGCATAGCTTTTGTCTAGCCCCCCCCCCCCCCCCAAAAAAAAATTCCATAAAAAAAGTGCACTAGCAATAAGAATGTGACGTACATGCGAACGGTCCCCCCTAGAGAGTCGTGTGAAGAGTGAATTTGTACACTTTTATATAGTTAATAAAGTGTGCCTGATTGTAGGATTTTATCAGCGCTCCCCAATGAAAATATGGTACGAGCGCCCCCCCCCCCCCACCTATTGATTTTCGGAGGCCTAAGCTGAGAAAATAACCGGTCTACATTTCAGCACGCCCACCTGAAAACATTTCTGGATCCACCCTGCTAGCCCCCCCCCCCCCCCCCCAATATTGGCTCTAGAACCGCGTCTGACTCGTTCAGAAAAAGAAAGAACTTTCTATAAAAAAATGGCACTCCTATTGCCAAAAAAAAGTGTAGGTGGTAAGCGCCGGTGCAAAGAAAGGGGCATTCCCCCCCCCCCCCCTCGCTGGCTACGCCTATGTCTGTGGTCATGTGAGGAAATTTCTGACCATGCACTTTTTCCAGTTTTGTTTTTACTTTTAGCAAAAGATTATCAGTTAGACATCATTTTCGAGTTTGGAGTCATTGAAGCAGCTATGCTGAGCTATATAATAAAAGGTAGTTTAACATTTGTATTAGCGGACGAAAAAGGGGGGGGGGGGCAAACGATATGATACCACCCTACCAACCCCCAGATCGGACAGTATCAAGAGAAGGCGCTGTCTCTCTCTGCGTTATGTATATTATTCATGATGTCCAGGGGCAGCTAGAGCCTAGGGAGATTAAGTTATCAAGGAATAATAAATCATCGATGATTGGTCGCTGATTCGTGGACTGGTTCTGTCAATGGAAGTAGTTGTGACTTCTGATCAGATGATCGGAGTTCGAATCTCAGAGAGCGTGTTTCACTTCTCATTTTTCCTTTTAAATAAGTATAAAGTGATGTAAAGGACAGGAACATTTCTCACAAGACGTAAAGCCTATATCTTGAGTTTGTGTTGTGGAGAACAAGGCATTAGATATGCAAGTAATGGACCAATCAGAAGATGGGAACAGATATGTCGTTTGGGACAAAAAGATTCGCCCCGACCCCGCGCCGCGCCCACGACTGTAAAAATTCACCGTCTGTAAAATGATGAAAGAACATGCATGCCAGGCTGCGGTTATATTTTCTGGGGAATGTAGCGGATCCGGATACAACCATAGGGCAATTTTCTTGCTAAATGTACTTATCATGCAATTCCACTCTTTCCGATAGTTCTCCTCACGTCCTCACGGGCGAGACCACAAGCTGTTGTCGAGTCAGAATGGTCGGAACTGCGACAGCAAACAAAACCTTTTGTTTGACTGGCCGCCGGCCTGAACTTTCCCACAAAATTTATTCGCAAGAATGTGACCTGCACCGCATAGCGCCCTCTGTTGACATAGTTGCCGTTTGGACCGAGACTTTTATCAATTAAAGAAAAGTTGAAAAAGTAATGCAGCAACGTTTATTGGAAAATAAAATACGGGACACCATAATCTCAGATGTTTAATTTATTCTTCTGTTCACTAATATACTTGTGCATATTTTGTGTAGGCCTTGTACACACTACTGACAGATCCAATCGACAAAAAACCTTTAAAATCAGTGACTACATCAGGGATGATAACTACATGTAGCACCTAAAACCAACAGAGCGCAAGGGCAGTTTCAGATGGTACAAAGACTAACAGGAACTGATATGGGGCATTCATAAATACCTCAGACAGTTTAGCCATTCCTATTGGTCGAGAGCCCGTCACGTGGCCGGTATTAAACGGATGATAAAGACATGGCTAGCTGGTCTTAAACACTTGTCCAGTGTCACAATAAAATGTGGACTCCTAAAAATCCAGTGCCTCTTATCGTTTCATTGGTTGAACGTTCACAATCCTCACGTAGGCATGCGCAACACTACCAGGTAGTTAGAATTTTATAGTTCTAAATTCAAAACGCAACGCGCCAGGTGCGTTCTGCGCGACATCGCGTAGAACATGATACGCGCGCGTCAATCTCCATAAAAGGGTTGTTTTCATCTTACTCGCCAGCTGAACACTCCATTATTTTGCAGGAGGGATGTTTCAAAAAGCATAAAGTGAATTTGTTGAACAAAATCGGGATGTTTTGAACGAATTATATGATTTTTTTTTACCGAAAAGGTATTTATGAATGGGAATAAATATGTACTCCGTCGGTATTTATCACTCTGTTTAATACCACTTAGAGTCTGGGTGCTGATAATTACCCTCGCCTCCGGCTCGGGTAATTATCAGCACCCAGACTCTAAGTGGTATTAAACAGAGTGATAAAAACCTCCGGAGCACACATTTATTCCCTTAGTATAAGTGGTCACCCACTGCAAAATAAAATGTGGGGGAGGGGCCCCGGGGGAGGGGGGGGGCGGGGGGGGGGGGGGGGGGGGGGGGGGGGGGGGGGGGGGGGGGGGGGGGGGGGGGGGGGGGGGGGGGGAGGGGCCGGGGGGGAGGGGCCGGGTTTTTTTTTTTCAAAGTGGATGATGTAGGCCATTACTACACCTCATACATATTCATGATCGAGAGCCATGTTTTCACTGGTACATTCACTATCAGGTGTCGGCCACTAGTTTTGCTGTTGACCAAGCGCGCACACAGGTTAAAAACTCGGGGCCGTATCATAAGTCCGACGCCTCATAGGTCTGACGCCTTATTATGAGGCGTCGACTTAGGCATAAAAATTATTTATTCCGCCTCATAAGTCCGATGCCTCATAAGTCCAACAACAGAAAAACGAGGCGTTTAATTTGTCTGACTTACGAGGCGTCAGAGCTACATAATGTATGAGGCGTCGGCTCGGACCAATGAGGCGCGTCAGACTTATGAGTCGGACCTATGAGGCGTCGGACTTATGGGCCTTTATTTGGCCAGGGGATGCGATTTTGTCGGACTTATGAGGACCCCAAAAACTCATGCATGGTAGAGTATCACTCGGGTTACCTTTGCACTACTTAAATTTACCCATATGCTTTACATAGAACTAGCGAACTGGGCTGGAGTGCACATAGTCTGGGGGCTAGACGTTGTTGTGGTTTGATACGCGTCGCGCAGTGATAACCCGCCGCCACGACAAGGCTCTATCAAGACCAACCAATACACAAACGGCCACGAACAACGTCTAGGCAAACTCTTAATGGTTGTGTAATGCATGCACCTGTTTGGCCTAAAATATGCAGCGCAGATTCGAAAAAAATCATGGTAGTTCCACAGCAAACTCCAATTTCTTCCAGTAATTTGAAAAATGCAGCAAGACATTTGTGCAACTTCACTAGTCAGCTCTTTTGTTGTGTGAAGAATGTGTGGGACTGACAATGAACTGTAATTGCCTGCAGAAGTTGTGCATATGCGTTCTAGTTTCCCCCATTTTTCGGGGGAAATTTGAGGAGTTGGCCTAGATGTTGTTCCGACGGGTTCATGGGTGACTATGGTTGGTCCTAATAGCACCCTCTCGCAGCGGCAGGTTATCGTGAATCAAACCATAACGGTCTAGCCGCTAGACTAGTGTACACACGCAAACATTGCCCTAGCTATGCATGCAAAGATGTGGGCATGAAGCAAAGCCCAAACTATTTTCCCCCAAAGTTGAAGTGACGTCAACCGCAATTTATTGCCTTCAAGATCTTCTTGCTCAACACGTAAGTTCCCGCCAACTAAAGATGACAACAAACGGTGTAAGGTTGATCTTGAGCTAATATTGACTATCAGACCCTCAAATTATGTTTTATTTATAAACCATTACACGTATTACACAATAGGAGTGAGTTTGATTACTTCCCCGCGCTTACTCGTGCAAGCTTGACGATTTAGCTTTCACGTGACTTCTCGCGCTTACTCGAGCCTGACGCAAGTAGCCGACTCTCCGAGCCGGTTACTTTGGTAAGTATCCCATAAGGCCATGCAATGAACATGGCTGCTGGCGGGCGCCTCAAACCATGTCCGAAACGGGCGAAAAAAATGTTGCAACCGACGCTACTTTTTTCGTCATATATCACCTCAATGAATGTTATTCATTGCAAAAATGACGATAAGACGTGAATCTGGGACTAAGAAACATTTCCAATTTTGTTAGGAAATGACTCTCCATCGACTTTGTACACAAACTGCTGAAGTGGTGTCAGGTTGCAACATTTTTTCCAAAACGGGCTTCCAGAGCTACGGCTACGTCTATTGTCAGCACATCCCCGCGCATTTTCAATGGACGTGGACCTAGACCTAGCTCTAGACAGTTGATTTGGATGCAGCCTGTGTCATGTCAAAGTTCAACTTTCCAGCTCTTGTACGAAACTTTACCCGACATCGTTTGTTATTTAGCTCCACTGCACAGGTCTGTCATCATGCCAGGAGCCAGGCGCGAGTAAGCTGGGGGAAGTAATCGAACGCATTCCAGGTGACACTATTCATTACGGCATATTTGCCTACAGACATACGATTTTGCCTCTAGGAGAGTGATTTTGCCTTAAGGAGATTGATTATGCCGACACAAAAGAATAATGATTGGGGTGTAAACACCCCCCCCCCCCCACCCCCAGATCCCACTTCTAGCGACACCCTCGGACTGAAGTTACTGCCAGCTGCTGCTTGTAAAAATGACTTCTTGCACCACAGAATTCACTGACTACATATCCTCAATACTCCATTTGTAGGCAATTTCCTTTGTTGCCTTCTTGTCCGCCTGGCGCACGAAGGCTTTCTTCTCGAAACCGTTGGATCTGTCCACACCATCCCAGCGGTAACCTGGCATGATGTTGAAGCGATTCGGCGGAGGTGGGGGGCCTTTGTACTTAGGTTTGGCTGCCAACAGAAAAAGAGGAAAACACAAAATGTACAATTCAAAAGACATACATGAGACAATCTGGAAAAATGAGACAGAACTGGGCAGAGGTTGAAATGAGGGTTTGCAGCAATAGGAAAGAGATTAAAATTCTCCTTACGATATTGTTCAATCCGATATTCCATTGACAAGTTATGGCTGCTTAAAGGGAATAAACAACATTTGCAAACATCGAAAAACAAAACTACCATTTTTTTACGAAATACCTTACTAGGATGTTGGTAAATGACAGTCTAAAGCATCCTGTAAAATTATGGCACCATGTGTGAAGTCATTTTCAAGAAAAGTGGTATTTTGTATAAATTTCCAACGGTGGTCAGCCAACCACCGTTGGAAAAACCTAACTATTTTTCAACTACTGCTCCAAATTTACCAATTTCGTTCAGTCCAAATTTTGTTTGCTATTGGTTACATGTTCATGAACGGGTACAGGCCAGTTAGCCTGGTTCCATTATCTTACAGTTTTCCGGCATCTATAAATGATCCATTTTATCTTGTGGAGTCAGGAACCAGACTACTTGAAATTTTTGTTTTTCTTGGTTTTTCCAGTATTTTCGAACACAAAACTTCAAACATGTCAGTGAAACAATATTTGATCTGTTATACTAACCCCTCAAAATAGTTCATTTCTGAAAATTACAGCAAAAGCCAATGATGTACATTCCCTTTAAAGTTTGCATTTATCAATGTCAAAAAAGTAAAATACTGGAAAAAGGACTTTTAAAGTTTCAAGTTTTGCAACTGCGTAATGTTTCGTGAAATCAGCTGCAGGTTTTTATCCAGCAATCTTATAGCTGAAAGGGGGAGGGGAGGGATGGCGGAGGGGTAGGTGGAGGAGGGGTGGCAGAGGGGTAGGTGGGGGGGGGGAGGGGGTATACACCCTACCTTTAACCCCCATGGCTGCTTGTGTCTTGGTCTGCTTCTTCTTCAGGAAAGCCATCATGGGGTCTCCCTCTCGCTCTGCTCCCTTTAGCATGTCATCCAGGTCTTGGTCGTCACGGTAACGAGCAAGGGGCTTGTCCATCTCGTGCAGAGCATTTTGCGCCAACTCCTTCTGCTGTGCGCTTTGCGTGAGTCTGGGTACCAGATGGAGAGAAGGACCATTCTATAAATTTAGGATCCGAGGTGTAACATAACAGTGGTGCATAACGGCTTAAAAAATGTCAGTCTCTCAATTTCAGAATTAATGAATTAGGATTCTAACGTAAATTATTAGTTATATTCTAATGTTATATTTAGTCTGTGGACTCCCAACTTGTTGGAGAAGGTAGCCACACTATCCAGCTCTGTGTCCAAATAAAATATGAGCCTCCACGACCAAGTACTGAATAATAATCTCATCTTTATTTGCATTCAAGGTCGTCACTTAACCCTTTCCTTACCATGGGCGACTTTTGTCGACAAGAAGTACCCCCCTGCTGGTTCCCATGGGTGACTTAAGTCGACCAGGAAACCACACACAAAACACCCTCAACACAGATATATTCACTACTTTTCTGAAAGGCGGCATGTTGATATGTTTGGCCACCCATACATCAACTATATACCAGCTGACAGAGTGTTTTCGGATCTTTCTATTGGTGTGGTTTATTCATAGTGTTACCATTACAAAAAAATGAGAAAAGTGCTTCAGAAGTATCCACGCACAATTTGAGGTATGGAGTGCCATTTGGTCATGTGGTGAAATGGCTTGCAGTTTGATAATTGGGACCAGATTAACAAAAAGGTATAACTTTCTTATATTTGCACGTATGGACTTCATTTTTACATCACATAAAAGAGTTAGGTTCAAGGAACAAACTTTACACACAACACCTATGATTTTAATCACTCCTTGGCAGTGAAAATCTGGGTTGAAAAAAGTGAGTTTTTGACTCGTGCTCATTTTTTTCACGCTCTAGTGATTTCCGCATGACTGAGCAAACAATTTGGTCCTGGGGAGAGCCAAGTCAATAAACAATTTGGGCATGAGGGTTAAGCAAGGGCTCACAGATGTTTCAAGGCGTTCTTACAGCACCAGCTGATTTGCACAGTTGACAGTGTAGCATGGCCGCTTGAGGTCGCTGTTCACACTTTGTGCAATACACAATTGAGTGCATAGAGCGTGGCTACTGTTTTGTTGGCGGTTAACCATCGAACATTAGACTCTATCGTCGAACGCCTTAACCAAGGCTAATTGTGGATGGGTCAGTGAGAGCCACACTGAAAAAAATTGCCTCTGGTATAAGCCTGTACTGAGGGCCCCAACAAAGCAAAAGGGATATTAACAATTAATCCCAAAAAAGGCATTCTTACCCTTTTCCCCACTCAACAAATTTCTGGTCCTCTTGTGCTTTCTTGGCGTCCTCTTCGCGCTTCTGCCGTTTCTCCGAATCCAGGTCCCTCAGTCTGCCAGACTTGTCTCGAAACACAGTTTCTTTATACAAAAAAAGCAAAAATGAACTAACATGTGGGTAAACAATTATTTTAAACCTGAGATTTCCATCGTGTCAGATATTGGATTTCAGATAGTGTCAGAGGTGGGATTTCAAATGGTGCCGAGGAGTGGGATTCTTATGAGTTGAAAATGGGGATTCCCACTGTGTGAGAAGTGGTATTTCAACGGTGTCAGCAGTGGGATCTCAACAGTGTACATGTATGTAATGGCATTTCAATGGTGTCAGTAATGACATTTCAAGTAATGGCATTTCAAGCATGTCAAGTTATGGGATTTCAATGGTATCAGTAATGAGATTTCATTTTATCAGTAATGGTGTCAGAAGTGGGATGTCAGCTGTCGAAAGTTTGATTCCCACAGTCAAAAATGGTATATGAACAAAATCAGAATTGGGATTTACAAATGCGTGATTTAAGTGGTGTCAGAAGTGGGATTTCAATGATGTAAGGTGGGATTCCAATGGCATTAGAAGTGGGATTCCACTGGAGTCGGTACATGTGGTGTCAAAAATGTCCTACATGAGATAAAGAGAGCAACTGTGTGAGAAATAGGACTGAATTAAGTACAGGGTAAAATTATGAGTTTCAAATACAGAAATCCAGTGGTTTTTGAAGTGGGATTCTAATGGTGTGGTAGGTGGCATATTAATGGTGACAGAAGTGGGATCCAATGGCATTATTAGCATTCAAGAGTATCATTATACATGTATATATTATTAGTGGTTTTCCAACTCACTTGCGTTCTTCCCTGACACATCGTCAGCCATCTTGGAATACATATCAGCATCACGGCGTCTGGATTCTTGGTTTTCTCGCCGCATGGACTTGGCATCTGAGAGACCAGCTGTTGTTCCTGTTTGATATTCGAAAGGTGAAAAATGGTAGAGGAGATAAAAAGAGAGGCTTAAAAAGGAGGAAAATGGTGAAAAAAAATCGAAACCAAAATAATAGGAACTAAAGCATCAAGCATTGTTTTGAAAGTGTAGTCTCATATTTAATGAGTTGGTGACAATCGTTGATACAACGTGTGCATGTAGTTTGAGGCTAACATTTTTATGACTCGGTGATACACATGTATTAAACTATAGCACACAATCTGTAAATATGAAAAAAATGGGTAATTTAAAAGTGGGAAATGCACACCTGTAGCTGGCAATGGCGAATTTTCTAAATCATACAAAATGTCAATAAGATTTGAGGGTGCACAGATGATATTAGCTGGTATTGGCAGTTGAAAAACTACACGTAGCTCTCGAGGCAAAGCCGAGGGAACTATGTAGTTTGTCAACTTGAAATATCGAATGTCCAACCAAAAACCATACTTGTTTTACTGTAATGGGATGCTTGATGCTGTACATAGTATTGTACTGGAACTTTATTGCTTCGCATTTCAAATGTGCTCATATTTTGTTTAAAGTTGCTCCATAAAATTATTGGCTTAGAAAATTAGGTACTTAACAGAAATAGGCAGAGAACCATTAACTAGTAGTATGTTCATCGCATGATAATGTGGTAACTGGCTTCTGCTAAGCAAGTACATTTTGTGCTATAAGCTTTCATGGAATTGAAGATGGCTTTCATAGCGTGAGGGGTATTTGGTACCTGACAATGTCTTCTCCGCACGCTTGCTGTTCCCACTCACGGCCTTTGAAGTTCTTGCTTGGGAGTCTTCCCTTTTTCTTGGAGAGTCAGCCTCTGGTCTCTCCCTACCCTTCCTGGGGGTAGCCTGCCGAGCAGGAGATAAGTCAAAGTCTGGGTTTTGTCTGTGTTTCTGCCTAGGAGGTGACAGATCTGAATCCGAATCATGTCTTGACGGTCTGGCAGAAGGTCTATCACCTCTTCTGTCCTGTCCTTTCCTGGGTGGTGACAGATCAGAGTCAGAATCATGCCTTGCTGGTCTGGCAGAGCGTCTATCACCCCTTGTGTCACCCCTTCTGTCCTGTCCTTTCCTGGGTGGTGACAGATCAGAGTCAGAATCATGTCTTGACGGTCTGGCAGAAGGTCTATCACCCCTTCTGTCCTGTCCTTTCCTGGGTGGTGACAGATCAGAGTCAGAATCATGCCTTGCTGGTCTGGAAGATGGTCTATCACCCCTTGTGTCACCCCTTCTGTCATGTCCTTTCCTCGGTGGTGACAGATCGGAATCAGAATCATGCCTTACTGGTCTTTCAGAGGGTCTTCCATCCCTTGTGTCACCCCTTCCGTCCTGTCCTTTCCTCGGTGGTGACAGGTCAGAGTCAGAGTCATGCCTTGCAGGTCTGGCAGAGAGTCTATCACCCCTGGTATCACCTCTTCTGGAGCCTGAGTTCCTCTCTGGGGACAAGTCCGAGTCAGAGGAATCATGACGTGGCCTTCTCCGTTGCCCAGTAGCAGGACTAGACTTTCTGTCGCGGGAGATAGAATGCTTGTCAGCATGTCTACTGCCTCGGGATTGGTCATCGTCTCCCATTGTCCTCCATTTGTTGCTTGTCCGATACTGCTCCAGAATGACTTCATCCTTGGGTCGCTCATCAATGACTTCAGCAACGAGAGGAATTTCATCGTCCATGAGAGGGTTGTCGATATCATCTTGTTTTTCAGAGGATGGGGCTAATGCTCTGATGTCCACATCATCATCAACAATGGTAAACGTGCTATAAAACAGAAGAAATATACATGTACATGCAGTCATTATAGATGGGTTATATACAGCACGTGGAAGAAACAGTTTCTTTTAGAAAAATTCGAAATACTTCCATAATAACAACATTTTCGCTACTCAAATCAAATCAACTTTCCTCACAATTGTTAATCCCATAGACAATTATAGCCGCCTACATGTACATCTGTGTACATGTGCATGTAGTTCTCTAGACAGGACTTTAAATTATGCACGCTTTAGATCCGGTCACCATGACGTCATCTCAATTTTTACCTATAACACGTCCCTGTCTAAATACATACAAAGTTTCAACACAATCGGACTTGTAGGTCTTTAGATATAGGCCTAGGGCTTTAAAATATGCACCTTTAAGATGATGTCGCATGAACACTGATGACTTCATCATTACGTCACCTCAATTTTTACCTATTACATGTCACAGACCTGTCTACTGCATGTTCTACGTACATGTGTACATACAAATGAGCTCCTTTTTTCAAATTTTGACTAATAGTCAGTTGTACTACTAGCACGACTGAAGCTAGTAAGACCAACCAAAGTTGAGTTCTAGGTCTACATTAGCCCCGTAAATGTGGCCTATTTACTGGACTGCCTCCGTAAACATAGGCCACACATCCACATGTACAAAAACGTGTCGCACTTTGCCAAATTTTGATTTTCACATTTAAGCTTTTTTAAGCTTGTATATTTTTCGTGAAATTTCCAGATTCACTTTTACACGTTTGCGTATCAAAATTTCAACATGAAATTTCACAAAAATTAGACATCTGAAAAAGGCAGCACTTTCTGACTAGCCTATAAAGAGGGTGAGTATGCTTCTAAAGCAAAAAAATCCCACAAACTAAGCCTAAATGTGAAAATCAAAATTTGGCAAAGTGCGACACGTTTTTGTACATGTGGATGTGTGGCCTATGTTTACGGAGGCAGTCCAGTAAATAGGCCACATTTATGGGGCTAGGTCTACATATATTTGTGTACGAAGTTTCATACCATCAGATTTGTAGTACATGTACTCTAGCAATCACCTTTATAAGTTGAGGTAACATGATGATGTCATCATGACATCAATTGCCTAAGATCAACTTTAATTTGGGTCTTTGTCTATGCCAAGTTAAAATTCAATCTGATTACATTTTGTCATGTTTTGCTGGAAGACAAAAACTGCTAAAAGTAAAAAAAAATATAATAATAAAAAGTCAGGTGATTACGTCATTGTGATGTCACTTCGGATTTTGCAGTATCATTAATATTAGGCCTACTAACGTACAATGTAATATCCTATTTTATACCACATGATATTTTTGACTGGGAATGCTGGGGGAGAATTATCTTGAGTAACTCCAGCTCTGCTCATTACTACTAATACTATTACTAGCTGGAGCTCAAACTATGACATGTTGTAGATACCAAGAGTAAGAGTCCCTAAAAACATGACTCTGTATGTAGATGCATAGCGCAAAATCTAAATCTCAATCTCAAAGGATTGATCCTATTGATTACATGTATAAAATTACAAAATACCCGCGTGGCGGGGGGGGGGGGTAATATCGCACAAGACATGGTGCAGGAAGATCGTATCCATGTCCATGGATGGGAACGAGGTTGATCGTTACGGCAATCGGACATGCTGGATTCACAACCTGCAAAAAAAACAACAATTTGGGCCTACATTCGTCCCCACAAATTTGAAATAACGTTGTTGTATTACCGGGTCACTTTAATGGCAGTTTTTACTTTCTTTCGTCGCTTTTTCTTCTTTGAATCTTCCGGCTCAGCGGACAAATACCGCTTGAGATATTCTTTCTGGTCTATGGGCAGCGCCATCTTGAATAGTGTAATAAGACAAGCAAGAGGGCGCTGTTTATTTAACTGTAAATTGCTAAAATACGGTGATCCACGAGTGCAATACCACTTCTTCTTTTTTTACCAGATACCGAGATACATGTAGTTATGATAAAAAACAAATTCTCAACCTGTCCTCTAATGTTTGTATATGAAACCCGATGTAAAATATATCCAGCTACAAATGTTCTGAAGAGTCATATGGATTAAAATTCTTAAAAATCCCACTTTGTACTGCAATATTCAGACAATTAGGACGAACGTACGACTAGCAGACAAAAATGTGACTAAAAGTTGAAAGGGAAGACTGACATATCACTGCTCTAAGTCAGATAAAATACCACTGAATTTGAGGATTTTTTATTTCCATGAACAATATTATACATGATTATTTACACGTGTATCAAAATACATATAATTATACTAAACGATACAATTATAATCATATAAGAAAGCAGTTTGATTGGGGCAGCACAGTGTTTGACGAAGAAGTCAGTTTTTCCCAACGATTGGAAACTGATACAAAATTGAATCATATGCTATTTCAAATAGATGCTACTTCAAAATTAAAAGTTAATATAGCTGTACTTAATTTTTATATGGCCATTTTTTTTTCATCACTGAAAAAGTCCATAACATAAGAGATGATAGAAATTAGCAATTCATTTTGAAAATGTATTTTTTTCAGAGAGCATTGCACCATAAACAATGGACAGTGTAACTTCAGCAATACTAATGGTACAATTATTTTGATTCAGTAGCAAATACAATTTTCCCCCACAAAATGCAATCATCTGAGTGTGTTTAGTTGAAGTTAAAGGGGCCATACAATGTAATTGTTTTATTGCATTACTTGAAAATGCACCTTTTTGTCATGTCGCATTTAAATTTATTTCAAATTTTGGTTTTGCCATTTTTAAGGGTATTTTGGAACCTATGTGGATTTTAAGCTAATGCAAATTATCATATTCATGAGCAAGAGTGTGATGTCATCTCATGCACAACCTCTATGCATGGGCGTAGCGAGGGGGGGGCAAGGGGGCACTTGCCCCCCCCCCCCCCCCCCCCCCCCCCCCCCCCCCGGAAAAGAAAAGAAGAAAAAAAAAAAAAAAAAAAAGGGAGAAAAGAAAAGAAAAAAGAAAAGAAAAAGAGGCGCGAGGACAAAGTGGTAAAAAGTTCATGAGTTGGGGGGGGGGGGAATGTCCTTGTCCCCCTCTAAAACTGATAAATCGAGAATGTGTTGAGAAATACAAGCATTTTTTGGTTCAGCACAAAATGTTACCAGAATTTTACTCGAATAACTTTTTATCATACAGTTGCAGTGCTTTACTGTCGGGTGCTGCCCTTTTTGCGGTATTTAGTATTTTGTCAACGGCGGTTCATTGGTCCCATTCTTAGCAGGTTAAAGCCCTTGACCGAATACTTACTGCACACAATTTTTAACTGGGGCATTCTGTGTGCAACTTTTGATTGGGGCGGCACCCAATTGCAACTGGTAGTTTGGAATATTCAAATATTCGGTCAAACACTGTTTTGAGTAATCAAATTCTAAGTTAGTCAAAAATTGACAGCCCTAACAAATAATTTGGTTCTGTGCCTCATACAAATGAGAAGAAATTTGCATTGCCAGAAAAAGAGTGTTTTAAAAACTAGCTCAGACAGTCCATCTTTCAATACATTTTTAATAAAAGAAAATTCTCAAAATTCATTTATTGATTTGATATTGATTGCTTTTCCCCCTTTTTTCAGTTCAACAACAAGAATATTAAAATGATAGGGACCCTGCCAACCAATCAACTAATGACTTTAAAAAACTTACTCAGATCTAACAAAGAATACACACAATTGGTCAATTGGTGGCCCAACAACCAATCACTGGTCACTGATGAGAAATCCATCCAATCACTGAGCACCTACAATGATAAACAGCAATCAGCTCCAACCAATCGCAAGCCTATGCTAAATAATGTTACAGGGCTTCTTGGCTACTGTATTTTCATTGGTCTAGAACGGTCACGTCAAGTTTATAAAATGACTTTAATCACTTTTGTCACCCAAATACTACTATCAACATAATTTGCACGATAATACAACGCACTAATTTCTTGTTCAGCATATCAGAATTTTCGACATGTTCTGAAAGTTGAAAGCTGAAAGTGGAAAAGGAAGCACAGTGAAGCAAAAGGTTGCATCGCGATGATTTGAAGTGATTTTTTTGCAGATTTTCACAACTCTTATATTTGCTGACTGACTGACTTAGCTGGCTGACTGACTCCCCGACTGACTGTCACTTGTGAATTAGACTTGCTTAAGTCCTGCCTTGACCAAAAAGCTTTGAAACAGAATTACCCTGTAAAGCCAATGAATGGGATAAATCTGGCCGACTGTGCAGGTCACATACGTATGAAAAGATTTCAAATGATTGGCCATTTTGAACCAATGGAATATAATATTGTGCCCTCTGGGACCGGCTTTACTAGGATTGTCTTGTCTTGTTTAGCGTATTGCAACGATACAACAAACGAGGTATCCCACTGAGATTTTAAAATGAAAGCCGCTGAAAATGCTGTCCTGGCATCAGGAGCCTACATGTATTTATGTACGTTTAAAACCTAAAACTTGATTCGGGTATTAAATGCAATTATCAGCGTCCAGGCCTCCAGCCAGTTTTAAACGTACTTGTTTAAAACTGGCCAAGCACATATATATATTCCCAATAGTAATATACCAGCCACTGTCAAATCAGAGTACACTTCTATGTTACATGATAAAATGTGATGTCTTCTTAAATCCTCCAAAATCCTTCACTTTGGCGAAAACCAATCCGATAATTCTTTCAAATGATCTTTCAAGGAGCAATAAGTATAACAGTAACTGGGATGCCGTTTTAACAATCCTGCAATATATTCCAGAACTAAACCGAGATTTAGAAGAAACTGGGACTAACACCTTGATGTGATTCGGATTAACCAATCACATGGCATTACTTGCTACTGGCCAGCCAATCAAGGCTTGAATTTCATTCAACCAATCACAGGTCATTATGGTGCCACCTTCATCCAATCGCATAGTCAAATTTGGAAAGTGACCTCCGGCCACTACTGATCTTTCAACCAATCAGAGTCATTGGCGACAGCTCACCAACCAATCACAAGTCGATGTCTGGATTCTCAAATAATAGCAGGTCTTTGTTAGTGTCACATGATGCTGCACTGGTCCCCCTGTGGCATCCCTGGTATCTTTGGCATCCCTTGCCCATCAAACTGCAGACCGAGCCCGGTACCCTGCAACAACATACATGTATGTTAGAGTACTGTTGGAAAATGGCACTTTATACATGTGCATACATATGCCCATCAAATACAATGTAACATGTAAAAATTGCATGGAACATGTTTCAATTTTGTTTTAAGAATAAAGGTACATAGAAACACTGCTAGTTTTTTGGAAAAGTACCTAATTTTCCAGAAAAGTACCTACCAATTAAGTGTAAAAAACACCGCTAAAACTAAAGATTGGAGTAGAACTGAAAACCCTATCCTTCGGACAAAAACTCATTCAAGGTGGGTTTAAAAACGTGTGGCTGCAGGCACACTTTTTATGAACGTTAGCAACGGAATCCAGTTACGAGACCTGAAAAATTAACATATGTGTGAGGTGTTCGGCAAAACGAGCCAGGGCAGAGGTCAAAATGAGGGTTTGTGGGTATTAGGAAAGAGAATAGAATGCTCGAAACAGTACTGTTTGTTGCACTTCCATGGGACATTCCGTTGATAAGTTATGGATATTTATTTATCAAACATGTCAAAAAAGTAAAATACTGAGAAAAAGGACTTCAAACTGTTGACTGTTTTGTAGTCATGAAAGATGACTAACGTTTTTCCATAAAGCACTTTCATTCCAAGAGTTTTATAGAATATATAAAAGAAAATGTGTAGTGGACATATCAAAGACTATTAATAAGGCCCAAAAAAAGAGTTCTGCTTCTCACTTACCCTACCTACCCTATTTTGACAGCCCCTATCATAATTTTTTTTTTTTTTAAATGAAAAAAAAAAAAAAAAACGAAGCCATCAATTCCTACCTTTTACCCTTGACTACATGTAGACACCTCTATATGATCGTACACACAAAAAATTGCCCCCCCAAAAATAAAAAATCCCCTACCTACCTACCCAATTTTCAAATGCCATGTAATCGGAAGCAGAACTATTTGTTTTGGCAAATATTATTTCTGAAAATTTAAAAAAAAATCAACACCAATTGATTCTTGCACTTTCCACCACTATGGTCGAGAATAAGCTTTATGTGGCCTCTCTGGACTCCCATACATTTGCACTAAGTTTAGTCGGGCACCATTTGCAGTCATCAGCCGACATTTGAAGCAAAAAAATCAGGTGAAAAAAAAAAAAGCCGCGTCGCCGCACCACTTTTTGGGCAAGCTCCATACCAGAAACCGGGGACTTTTTTTGGGGGGGGGGGTCCTTATGCCAAGTATGCAAACAAAAATGACAAAAAGGGTTCGAAACAGCTACTTACCCCTTCCCCAACAATATCCGTGGGTGGTTGCCCAAGGCCTTCCATCTGAAAATTTTAACCAAAAACCAGATCAACAGAAATGAATTATTTCACATCAAAAATGTCAAAATTCAACTTCACCCTAAGTGTCATTTGTTGTGACACAGCTAAAGAAAACAACTGGAACGTCCCCAATTTGCTCCATGGTCTCAGATTGTGACTGCATTCACTTGTTGACGGTCTTTTTGGTTCATGACTAAAAAAAAAATGAATAGCCTGCTCATTCGACTTATCAGAGAGTTCCTGTTCCTTTTTTGCACCACTACAGCACTAGAGGAGGCCCAGCATTCACTGAATCCCACAAATAATCGGTGGAAATTGATACAAAAATTCCTTGAAAATGACAGCACACCAGGTGCCATGATTTCACAGGATGCTTGAGACTTTTTTTCACTCACAATCAAGTAAGGTAGTTCAAAGAGTCATGTTGGCATACATGTAGCCGTTCTTTCCTCGCCTTCCACTGCTGTGACCCAGGTTCGAATCCCGCCTGGGCCAACATGTGGATTCGGTTTTCAGTCCCTGCCTGATTCCGTGGGTTTTCCCAGAATATTCTTCTGGGGTTTTCCTCCCACCTCTAAACTGTAATTTCTTCTCATTGCTCATTGTCTTCAGTCTTTAGGGAGACTTTCCCATAGACTTGTGCACAAAATTTTCAAACTTAAATGTGCCCTAACCCAATATTTATTCCCTTGTCCTTTGTCCACGAATTTGGGTATGTTTACTAATTAGACCACGAGCAACAAAAATAACCGCATTGCGACAGTAGAATTTTGCCTCTAAAGGGGGGCTGTGACATTAGGGAGACTCCCCCCAAAAATTTCTCCCTAAATACTGATGTCTCCCACGTTCGAAAGAAATTACGATACCATGTCTCCTTAATGGTACATTTACACGTATAATAATAATAATAATAATAATACATGTAATTTGGTAGTTTTGTGCTTGATGTTTGCAAATGTTGAATATTAGTTTAAAATGTTGGCTTCTTTAAAAAAAAAAAAAACCTTGGAAACAACTGTGTTGGGGAGCCTCAAATAGGCTATGTATCTGGGTTATGAATATTCAAACTATGATCTCATGCACATTTAAATATTTGAATATTGAGATATTCTGGACAGGCTCCGCCCTAAATGACTGCACCTCTTGGATGAGATCCATTATTCTGGTCATCCGTTGCTGTTTGACGTCCGTGGAGTCCGTTGACTGCTCTGATTCGTACTCTGTGCATAGTCTCTTCATGAGCTCAAACTGCTGCGTGTAGCGTTCAAAGTCTTCCGGCTTGACTGTAGACTGGTTCTCGTCCAGCCACACTGGATACTGTGGACGGGAAAGACAGAAGTGAGAGAATATCAAAGGTGCAGGAATCACCTGATCAAATGTTTTGCTGTTCCCAGAAGAGATTGCACCTGTTTGACCAATTTCGAGAGCTCCATGTTCACGTACTTGTTCTACATAACCCCCGAGGACAGACACACAAAGGGAGAACAACAGATCCTTTCAGTCCTCGGGAGTTGGGTCCTCTGTTCAAAACGGTCCTTTGTAGTAGATTTTTGTGCTTAGTCTATAGGAGAGTGTTATATTTCAGGGATAAAGGAAAACACAAAGCATTGTCCTCGGGAGTATAGTAAAACAAGAATGGGTGTACTGGTTTGTGTGTGTATTACGTGAACTACGCAGGAATGATTTTATTCTGGATTCAGGGTATAAGCAACTTGGTTAATTTGAAGGAAAAAATCTATATTCACTGATATTACCTTTAAACGATATCTGCTACGTTTCTACTCACTTTTTCTACGACTTCCTTGAGAGATGGATACAGAATGTCCTTGGAGAGTAGGCTCTGCATCATGTGTTGCATCATGGGCATCATCTCGCCCTCGGAACCGTCTCCAAGATGCATGTTCTCCATCTGTCTTAACACCTCCTCCTCTGGTACGTTGCCATCCTGGTTGAAAACATAAAGTGGCCCACAATGATTCCCCAGGCTTTTCTAGACTTGTAATCACATTTCAATCTCATGTTAATCAATCCAGTGTCAATCACAAGTCAAATATCACATGTCAATTACATGTCAATCACATGTCAATCACAAGTCAATCACATGAGAGTCGCATGTCAATCACATGTCAATGACATGTCAATCGCATGTCAATCACATGAGAATCGCATGTCAATCGCATGTCAATCGCGTGTCAATCACATGTCAATCGCATGTCAATCACATGTCAATCGCATGTCAATCATGTATGTCAATCGCATGTCAATCATATGTCAATCATATGAAAATCACATGTCAATCAGGAGCACGTTTTGGCGGCCCTTGAACTGGAACATGTTTCTGACGTCACAGCCGTGACCTGAAACATGTTTCCTGTGCACCGCGAAAACGACTGACCGGAAAATTGTTCAAGACGTCATGTTACTGCCTACGGAGTACGTGACTGCACACAACTCAAAAAATTAACGCGGCGACCGGACATGATTAACAATAACATTCAAATCAAAATATAGGAGTTTTTTTTATAGCGTTTCCCTAAAGTTCTAAAAAGAGTGGGCCTGATATTCTGTATCAACTTTCGTACCAATTGAAGATAAAACCTCACTATTTAAACCCCATTTATGGTAAAAAGTAACGTCGTCTGCTAAGCTTGTTTACCTTTCCGCCATCTTGAAACATAAGTGAACCGACCAGAAACCTCGGTTCAACTTTGGTCGAAACAATGACGTCATTTCAGTGTAACCAAAGCGCCAAAACGGCCGCGAACCAGAAACATGTTTACGGTCACAGCGCCAAAACGTGCTTCAGATGTCAATCACACGGCAACATGTCAACAGCATGTCAATCACATGTCCACCGGTTCCTACCTTCAGGTCCTGTGCACTTTGCACCAATCGGTTGATGGTGTCGCCTAACGTACTCTCAAGTGTTTCATTGCCTGATGTTGTAGCGCCCTCTGTTGGCGGTGCAGAGCCAAATCCTGGAAAGGCTGTAAAGAGGAAACAGTCGCTGCAAATTGGGGATTTTTTTGGTAGTGTTGTTTCAAGACAGTAAAACCCTAACTCCCTAGGGGGTGTACAAAATTGTATTAAAATTGAAGGATTCAGGACTGTTAGATCAATAACAGACTATATTGCACACATTTTTTTCCTTATGTGGGTGAAATTATTTTCATGAATGATTCAGTAGTTTCGATGGAATCACTGCAAGACTCTTATTGTCTGTCAGTGCGTACTTATATGTACAGTGCATTGTGGTGAGACTACTAAGTATTGTGGCAAAGATTGGTCGTCGTGGCATAAAAACAAGTTGACTATTTACAAATTTATGGTTGTCACTACCAACGTTTCTTTTGTTTTTGCATTGGAAACTAATTGACTAGTCAACTCGTCGTTCACACCCAAATGGAAACCTCTCGATTGTTCCTCGCATTTCAGAAATACAAACAAAATGTGCAGTGGTACGCCGCTATACCGAACATTCGTTACTATACTTATAGCTGCGTTACACTGTACCTGAATCTTTCAAAAACTGGAACGTTGAATTTATTGTGACAGGTCACATACATGTACTTCCCCCCCCCCACCCCCTCCCCGAAAAAAAGGTATGTTTTTTTTCCTCCTCAAACATAAGCTCCACCCACAATCTGGGGTCTAGTACCCCGCATCCTACCTACCCTCAGCACCACCACCCTGTAGTAGTTTGGCTAGCAGATCATCGTTCATGCCAGGATCCTGCCCAAGGTCTTTGCCGAGCTCTGACATGACACTGCTCATGACTGACTCAAAGTCTGTTGCGCCATCACCACCGGCAAACAGCTGGTTGAACAACGCCTCCTGACCTGGTGGAAGGGGCGGGGCCTAAAAAGGGGGAAAAGGGGGTACCATTACAACCAAGTTCTAAGTATTGTTGCTAGGATACTTCTTAACCAGTTTGCGTCGGAGGATGTTTTTATACACAGGCACGGCTGATGGGTTAAGACGTCAAGATTGCCTTGACTCGCCTCCAGGTGACATCTAAACACGCTAATCCCTCGTGCCTTTTGTACACACACACAAAGTCCGTGAAGTCTGTGGAGATGGACCGTGTGTTGATCTTTAATTGGCGTTTGTGCAAGGCCTATTGTTCTTCAATTTATGCTCCAGTGCACACCCTGGAGTATTGAAACATATGAGGTTTCGGCAAGAAGTATTGTACAAATACTGTTGAAATGACTCTTGCGAATCAGTATTCGTGGCGTTAAGCTGTATATCATCAGATCTCTGGAAAGTTTTGCCTTTTGCGAGAATCAGGGGTGTGAGTGACCACACATAAAAATAGCTGAAAACAGCTGAAAAAGGTATGAAAAAGCTGAACTTTGGAAATCTCCTATACTTTTGTACACAGCAAGTGAGGGAAAAAGCTGAAAAAAAGCTATAATCCAACACAAAAAAAGCTGAAATCAGCTTTAAAGCTGAGATTTCACACCCCTGGAGAATTGAAATTTTCAGCAAAAAAAATCCCGGCGCGAAGTGGTTAAACCATCCAATATCCTCCAACATGTAGTTTAAAGGGTCCATGAAAATTAGGTTTTGTGCAACTTTCTACTTCTCTTAAATGTATGAAAGCTATTTGACATTTCCTTTTTGGTTAATTTTATTGAAAAGTTTACTTCTTTAAACAATTAACATTTTCTATGCTTTTCCTAACAACTGAGGGCGCTGTTGCTTTGGTGTCAATAGGAAGACACTGTTCAGTTCTGTTCCAATTGTGAACCCAAAAATTTACTCATTGGAAATTTTTTTAGAAAAGTTTGCTCATTGGCTTACTGTCACATACTGAAACAACAACTCCACCAAAGGAAAGAAAATTCGAGACAGCAAAATGTCCCAAATTCTGAAATGGATTTGCCAAATTACAAAATGCTCACAAACGGAAAATTCCTAAAGTACGTCACTTGACTCATCTTTCATTGTTTTCTTAATTTCACAGGGAGTTTAGTCCATTACTATCTTTAAACCAAGTAAGCTTTTCAACACTGAATTATTTGCTCAGTTAGGCCTTCTTATTGGATAGAGCAAAGATCTACTCTAGCTTTCTGGAGATTAATACACCATTGAGTAAGGTTTAGGAAATCTGCTGCAGTATCCTGCGAACAAATTCTCGAAACAATCTTCAGATAAACCTTTCCTCAACTTCGCCCTTGATATTTGTTAGGATGACTCCTTACCTCTTGGGATGCAGCCTGAGTCTTGCCGGAGCCTGCCACAGCTTCAGTCTTCCCATCAGGAGGAGCTTGGTCAGGGGCAACAGCTTTTGGCTTCTCAAAATCCTTCAGAGCACCTGATGGTACGATTGAAATGTGGGAGTTTAGAATTTTGACCAAGTAGTACGTGCGTGTAGTCAAATAACAATGTGGCAAGCAGGCAGGTACATTGTAGTGTGTGAACGGTTCGTGATTGCGGTCCAAATCCCCGTCCAATTCCATTTATTTGCAGCTCACAAAAATTATTATCAGTACATGTACCATTGAAGCCCTAGTACCCCGGTAGTTCTGTTCTGTTCTGTTTTTGTTAAAGGGAAAATACAACATTTGCAAACATCAAAAAATAAAACTAGCAAATCATTTTGAAATACCATGCTGGACTGTTCCTGTAAAATCATGGCACCTGGTATACTGTCATTTTCAAGAAAAGTGGTATTTTTGTATCAATTTCCAACGCTGGTCGGCCGACCAGCGTTGGAAAAAAACTGGTTTTTTTTCAAATACTGGCCCCACTTGACCATCGCACTTGTTTGCAATCGATTACACACCTACATACATGAACGGTACAAGCCAGCTAGGCTGGTTCCCTGACCTTACAATTCCCCAATTTATGTAAACTGCTCTGTTTCTCCTTATATGGAGTCAGGGAACCAGACTACAGGAAAATGATTGTTTTTCTTGGTTTTTATAGCATTTTTGAACCCAAAACCTCAAAACAGTCAGTGTAAATATATTTGCTATATATTTCCAACCCCCCAATTCCATCCATTTCTGAAAATTACAGCAAAAGAAAATGATGTATATTCCCTTTAATTGGTAAAAAATCATGTGTTGGTTAAGTGAGTAATAAACGTTTACCCCAAGAACCATGGGTCTTGCTACACAACAGGTCTACCCATAGATCCTTAATATACAGTCAGCCTGGAGGTGAATTTTGGAGCAGCCGCTGTATAAGGGTTAAAGTATAAGGGTTGAATCGATCCGATGGTGCACAAAAATGATGAAAACAGTCCCATTTCCGTGCCAAAGCTACAGTTTGAGTTTTAACGTTTCAACGTGCACGCGAAGCGTTGTTGGCGTGACGTCAGAATAGTCAGAGTATTTTGGTCTGGGAACCGACCACAGACACTGTCTATGGTGCATATCGTGGGTGATGTCAGATGGGCCAATCACGAGACGCGTCTATCGGTATTGTGTAGCAAGAATCATACATTTGTAGTTCTTGGGGTAATAAACCTTGACATTGTCCATTGCTCCTACATGTACATATTTTTACCGATTTCAACCACACTTTGTCAAAAGTATCAGTAGCCCAGCCCCAACATGTCACATGACCAAACTGGGGTCAAAGGTCATCATGGGGTCACTGGGGTCAAACACCTTATTTTTTTTACTCAAAACACTACTCCTTCAAGTAATTACACGGCATAATCACGTGACTCATGCATGAACACGAATTTGTTGGCCTGCAGCTTCCAAGATATTTCCGATTGAGCTTGATTATTTGGTAAAAGAATTCTATCGGTTGCTATGGAACTGATGTAAGTAGCCAAAAAGGAACCGATAAGGAAACATAGCATACTCATGAATTGAATGAAGTAAAATAATTCTTTGTACAGCTGCATACATGTAGGCCTATAACCCCCTCCGGTTTACAGCCAGGGGGATAAAAAGTGATCACTTTGTCCATGCCAGATATTCGGGGGGTTTTCGGGTCGGTTTTACCTTATTTTTTTTTCGGGTTTGGACGGGGCGGTTTGAGGGAGTTAAGATCGGTTTCAGTTCAGGAAAATATGTTGCAACCTGGCGCCACTTCCGCGATTGTTGTGTTCAAAGTCTATATGGAGAGTCAAGAAAATTGTCTAAGTATTTCCTAACAAAATTCAAAAAGTTTCTCAGTCCCAGATTCATGTCTAAATATCAATCATCATTTTTGCTAGCTTGAGTAACTCCAGCTGACATGCTCATATTCATTCACATGTAGCGCTGGAGGAATAACCTGTTCGTTTCCATGTGGTAGCAAGAGACCCTAAAAAAACGGCCTCTCCAAAATTGTCCGAATTTCACCTCTTTTATCCCACCCCAGAGTGGTCTGTTTCAAGTCGATCATTAGGCTTCGTAAATGACTGCTGAATGTATGAGGTATGTAAATGAACTCTGGGGTGGGATAAAAGAGGTGAAATTAGGACAATTTTGGAGAGGCCGTTTTTTTAGGGTCTCTTGCTACCACATGGAAACGAACAGGTTATTCCTCCAGCGCTACATGTGAATGAATATGAGCATGTCAGCTGGAGTTACTCAAGCTAATTTTTGCAATGAATCATGAATGACCTTCATTGAGATGATAATATTAATATGAAGAAGAAAGTGCCGAAAGTGGTGTCATCAGGTTGCAAAATTTTTTCCTCGGTTCGGATTCTGTTTATAATAATAATAATAATAATAATAATAGTGGATATTTATAAAGCGCACGTATCCACAAGGACTGGTGCTCAAGGCGCTACATAGGCCTATGTCTAAATATGTTTCTGGTCGGTTTGGCCTGGTCAATAAACCAGGTTCGACAACCCGACCTGATGCACTTCATTAATCTGCACAACAATCATGTTTGGCCTGATCTACTATGTCTACCAATCACCAAAAGGAAAAGACATCCCATGAAAAAAAAACAAAAAAAAACTTGCCATTTACTGAGCTGAGCTGCGCCCTCTAGAGGATGGACAACGTCAAAAAAATACGACGTGATCGAGCGAGTAAAAACAATTCATTGTTTTACAAAACGGACTGACTTTTGAGACTTACTATCGAGTAGATCATCAAGTTCGGCATTTGTTTCGTCTCCTTCCTTCGTTCTTTTAACAGTTTCTGAATCAACATTAGACTTTTTGGGCGAAGTTTGGACAACTTCACCCACGTTTTCTCCCGTGTGATCGGCCATTTTCAGATTTTGGTCTATGTTCGGTTGTTGGTTATTTTATTACTCCGATAATTGAACCAGATCATGCGTCGCGCGCGCGCATTGTGTGGTACGGCATGGCGGTGTCATTAAATCCGACTATGAAAATCTAGCCTTTCGCAAAATCGGCGAACAGAGCAACTAGGCAAAATCTGCGCTGTGATTGGTTAAACTTTCAGCACTCTAATTATTTGCATAAAAATATGAATAATTCAACCAAATCAATTAGTTAGAAATGGCCCCGGGGTGCACACCTGTAAATAGGCCTAAACCCATCCGCCGATGACTAGAGCAGGCTAGTCGAAACGTTGAGACCAAAGACAAGTTCGTTTAGAACTTACAGCAGGACTGTTCTTATATCAGAACAAAAAACTACTTAGCAAAGTTGATAATAAGCAGGACAAGTTCTTTTCAGAACTAATATCTTCTAAGCAGTAGTTATTACCACATGGTGTTACCGCAAACCGAAACGATACCATCCGCCGAGCTCATGAATAAAAGTTATACCCTCAAATCTATATATATAAGAGAGAGTTTAACTCGGCCTCCGAGACGATGTTTGCTCATGAAAGGATCCCAGACCGCGGGTTCCCGCGGCGCCAGAATCGCTCCACGTCCGTGGAAAAATGCGGAGGGTGTCTTCCGCCGGGTGGGACACTTCGGGTCGTCCTGATTTTCCGGTACGGACCGGCGATCCGTTTCGTCGATTTTTCGTGACTGCGTTTTGCGCAGGAATTTGCCGCCGTGTGCGCTTTCACGTTGACTGCCTGGCCGCCCCCTGTGCTGGCCTTTCTGCGTGTCTAGACTGTGCGAGGTCAGCGAGGTCAACGTAGGGGTTTCGTTTACGTGTTCTACTCGGCCGTACTGCCAAAGCGTTCACCAAACGGTAGTATGGGGTGACCTTGGCAAAATATTTTTTCTCCATGGTGCGTGGCCACCAAGTGTCCCTATTCTTTCCTGTGCTTTGCTTGCCGCCCCTGCGCCGAGTGCAACGAATACTCAGAAGGACTAACATTAGTATGCCTTGCGCGGTCTGACCAATCAAAAGTCTACACTGCGTGGTACTTCCCGGCTATGCGTAAAACCGTCGATGGCAACGCCTACTGCAGCCTGCTCCACACCCTGGAAACGAGGTTGAGTCTACGGTGCTCGCTATTTGAAGCACAAGCATGTCACGTCGCGTGATAGAGCGCTGTTGCTTCCATAATGTGTTTACAGCTCCATGCTTCCACCACCAAGGCTGAGCGTTGTTAGTTCGCTGCCCGCCATCACGTATAATTCAGTGTCGCGTTATAATTTCGGGGCCTGTTTGGGATCAACGAAGGATCGATGCATTGCTTCAAATATCGCGATCTTAAACGCAGTCACAAAAAAATCGACGAAAAAGACTTTAGTGTCCGACCCGGCGGAAGACACCCTCCACATTTTTCCACGGACGTGGAGCCATTTTGGCGTCGCGGGAGACCGCGGTCTCGGATCCTTTCAGGAGCACACATTTCTCGGAGGCCGAGTGAAACTTGCTCTTATATAGATGGTTGAACCAACTTGAATAAAAGTTGAATCGACTTTTTCCTCGCCAGACGGTCTCGCAAATTGTAAGAAATTCAAGTTAACGTTTGTTGAAGAGTCCAATACTGAAACTTAATTATGACCTTCCTCCATATTTTATGGTCACACTCAACATTTTCATTTCAAATGACACCTTCAGTCTTCACGTTTTATTGCATTATTATTTATTGTCAAAACTGTACAATCAGGCTTCGCCTGTGTACTACGGTAACCTTTTCACTACGTTTTCCAAATGCGACTGCCTCACGAAATGCCAATTTAACAGACCAACGGGGAACACTTACAGACAGTTGCAATGGTACATAATTATCATGTTCGTAAATCGACGGGGGACAGGGGGAACCCCCCCCCCCCATATTTTTCAAGCGGGGGACATTGTTTGGTCCCCCCCCCCCAACTTTTTATTCCCCGAATAAAAATGGTACCCTACAATAATGATTCTACTGCTCAGAATACATGTAGCTGATTCAATTACTCAAAACTCAAAACTTTCAAAGATGATCTTTCGCTGAAATTGATTTTATATAGTGGTCAGAAATTGCCTCAGATCACACCACAGAAATTGCTTTTCTATAACTGCACGTCTACTCAACTATATCCCCCATCTACGTTTTCCAAATGCGACTGCTTCACAAAAAAACAATTTAACAGACCAACGGCAACATTTACAGACAGTTGCCACGGTACATAATTATCATGTGCGTAAATCGACGGGAGACAGGGGGAACCCGCCCCCCCCCCCCCCCCCCCCACACACACATTTTCAGGCAGGGGACATTGTTTGGTCCCCCCCCCCCCCACACTTTTTCTTCCCCGAATAAAATATTGTAGCCTACAATAATGATTCTCATTACTCAGAATACATGTAGCTGATTCAATTACTCCAAACTCCAAACTTTAAAAGATGATCTTTTGCTCAAATTGGTTTTAGTGGTCAGAAATTGTCTCAGATCACACCACATAAATTGCTTTTCTATAAGTTAACTGCATGTCTCCCCAACTATATCCCCCATTTACATTTAACTCCCCACATTTTCATCCCCAACACTACGCCCTACCCGATCTATGATCGGGTAAATCAGCTTGTATTCTATATTAGAGAGTTCTGAGAGCCATAATATTGGGGTATTGAAGAGATATGGCAATGAACCTCTGGCCCGGACTCGGGGCTTCCAATTCTGAGCATTTTGGATACAGTTGGGCTCGAAAGTGGCGCTATTTTGCCATGTTGTGGCGGAATCGTTTTTCAAGATGGCTACCGTTCCGCTTTGGGGAAAATAGGGGTCGTCTTCTTTGGGCGAGAATTTCTCAAAAAGTCAATGGTCAACCCACCAAAAAATGAAAAGAAATCGAAAGATGACATGTCGATCATCATTTTTCTGTGCAGCTTAAATACATGTGAGAGTTCTGAGTATTGAAAAGAATTTTGATGCATGGGCATTTAGCACTAGTGGCTATGGAATTTGTTTTGCACTAGCTGTTGCACCCCTCGTGGCTTTGCCACTCGTGCGTGCTGACTTAATCTTTGCTCCTGTCGCTTCGTGCTTTCACAGCTCCGTCCCTCTAAGCCACGATGGCCTTGGCGAAATGCTAATGAAAAACGGACTCTTTTCCCTATTAATGGTTAATCCCTCGCACGTGACAGGTCACGCTCCCGTATGTGATCCTAAAAATAACATATTAGCGTACTTACGCATGCGCAATACTACCAATGAGTCCAAATTTTCATGTTCGCTCGTACCCCCGCCCTGTTTGCAGGGCGGGGGATACGAGCGAAATGTTCACGGCCGGGAGTCGGATATTACAGCGTAGGGGCGGTGCGGTCATCAGATGGCGCTGGCATGAATGCACAAAGTTCACTAATGAAGGCACTGCCCTTGAAGATGGCCGCTATAAGCATAGTTTGAGTCTCTTTTCCTTTTCTTTAGCAGAAATTAGCACACTATATTAATTGAAACCACATTATGTACTAATGTATTTATCTCAAGAAAATCACCGTCGTTTTAATAGTTTAGTTAATAAAACACAAATTATTTATTAAAAAGAAAAAGACTTGAACAAGGGCGGGTCCTGATCCTTCGTGGTGGTTCATGCCCAAAATGAAAGTACTATTCATGGAGGATGTTTTAATTAAGAGAATTGCACACTATGATGGGGGAAGGAATATACCCATAATCGATAAAGTAGTTTTATTGGCAAAACAAAACAAAACATATCATTATTGAAATTTTTTTTAAGAGTATAAGTGGCGTCCGGCCTGCATGGTTAAGTGGGCCGCTTACGCTTTTGATGATCCCTGGATATTTTAGTCGGGGAAGCTAAATTTCTGTTAAACCTGTTAACCATGGTCAAGTTGGAGCTATAAAAAGGAGAGCAAGGACCACTCTATGATGAGGGGGATGCAAATTTGGTGTTTTTTTAATATTCAATGTGTAAATAATAAATAATGACGACATTGTAATTTATGTTATTTTCGCGTTGCATCTCAAACCTCAACCTGTCGAATTGTTTTAAAAATGCCTTTAATATTTTGATTCCCCTTCGCAGGCGTACCGTCGGGCATTACATGAGTTTTAGCAGGACTAGCCAAATACGCAATGCAGCCGAGGTTTGAAAATGATGTGACCGCACCATAACCTTTTGTGGTTGACCTACTTCACTAACGAACTTGGCCTTGCGTGACGTGCTAATGGGGAACAATGCCATTGGTCGCTAGATGAGTGTGCATGTGCACGCGGCGTGCAAGTAATGCGAGTTCAACTAGACTTGTATCCGTCGGTCGCTTATGAAAAGGGTGTGAAGTAACTGATTATCCCACAAAAGTTTAAAAGAGCTGATCAATAAGTACAAGCAATGTAGTTTTGAAGAACTAGAAATGGCTAAGTTAATCAAGACACTAGCAAGTAGCATTTTTCACAATAACATGACATCACATTATGATACTTTCACAACTGAAAAGGGAATGGGTAAAGTTTAATGGCTTAAATAACCAGCGGACTAAAAAATGCTGATTCACGTACATTGCCGGCTGCGTGACGTGTATCGCGATATCGTGATGCAATGAGCATAAATGCATAAGATTTTGTATGATGTGCATATGAAATCCTTCAGAAAATGACTCGAATTCATTTTCTAAAATCGTGTTATTTGAGGAACTCTTTTCTCCAGTTGTTGGGTTATTCTGACCAACATGACTGGCTAAATCTACGATCTCTCCGGGAACTTGGCTGGTGAAAGTGGGGGTTACCGAAAAAGAGTGTTTTTGCAACTTGCTATGTGCCGACTCCGTTTCGTCATGGAGCACAGCGGGCCGAGCGACATCCGCGGCGGGGTGGCGGCCGCGGTGGGGAGCGTACAGCTGGCCAAGGCCGTGCTGTCTCGCAAACAACTGTCAGATTTCCCCGAAGACGAATTCAGCGGGCAAGAACACAAAGTGAACATCATCGATCTCAGTCGAAACTCGCTGTCTTCCATACCAGGGACCATCAGTGTTTATACCAACTTGATAGAATTGGACATCAGCAACAACAGAATATCGGGAATTCCCGATGAAATCGTCGCTTTGAAGCATTTGCGGTCCCTGATCTGTAAAAACAACCAGTTCGAAACAAACTCACTGCCTAAGGATTTCGGGAAGTGTGTTTCTTTGGAAACTGTCAATTTCAGTGGCAATACCATGCTAGATTTCCCTATGCAACTCACTGAAATCCAGACATTGAAAGCTGCTTACCTTGGTGGAAACAGAATTCGACAAATTCCGACAGCAATACAAAACTTACAGAGGTGAGTTTGCCTCTCCATTTTTACATTGAACATAAATTGTTGATAAAGTGAACGGCAAAAATGTTGCAACCTGACGCCACTTCAGCGGTTGTGACTTGTGTACAAAGTCTATGGAGAGTTAGTCCGAGTAAAAAATAACTTGGACCCAACTTATCACCTTTTTTAACATTTGGACATGCAGCTGGCGATTCCCAACACTATGTCCAAATGTTAAAAAAGGCGATAAGTTGGGTCCAAGTTACTTGGACTAATGGAGAGTCAAGAAAATTTGAAAAAATTTTCATTCCAAGATTCATGTCTTATCATCATTTTTGCAACGAGTGACCTTCATTGAGATGATATATGAAGAAAAAGGTTGCATTTAGATTGCAACATTTTTCCCAAGTGAACATTTCAGACAATGCTTTGTTGATTGTAAACAAGTCAGAGTAACTAGAACTCGACCTGGCCTGACATGCCTGAGTAGGCGCAGGCCTGTGGCAGACTTGCTTGAGGGAAATCTTCATTATGTCTGTAGCCGCGTCAAAAGCAACGTTTAAATGAGCATCTGTATGTTACATTATGTAAGTACTTACATGTAGTTGAGGCTATCTGCAAATTTACAATGGCATAGGATCTGTCATTCATGTCATTCCCAAGAAATGGTGAAAAAATGGGACTTGCTGCGAACATGTACATGTTTTAATAGGAATTTTGGAAAGGTTACGCACGGTACCGTAATATTACGTACAAACTGGTGGGCACTGGTGCTAGTGGGAGCCCTCCAATTGCCCCATTGAACACATTCGATTATTAAACCGGGAGGAAATATTTGATAGGCGCTAGTCCCACTAACTGGGGCGCTGGAACTCCTTTTTTGACATTTGGGATGTTGATCTCCAAATGTAAAAAAGGAGTTCTAGTGTCCCAGTTACATGGGACTAGATAGGCGCATGATTTAGTACTGAGAAAGCACACCCCTTTAAAACCTACCGGTACGTGTCTTGCAATGATTCAAAGGAAAAACTGAATTAACATGTATGCCTGACATTAACCCCTACCCTGCTAGGAAAAATATACACTGGCTGTAGTGTTATGCTGAGCCTATGTCAAAAGGCCTTGGAATATTGTTTACACCACTAAGCCATGCCCTCTATAGACTATGCCAGGTGCACATATGCATGCAACAACATGTTTTGTAGTATTGCGTACTGTCTTGCGTGTGCTTCGCCGAATAAAAAACTGAACTACTAAGGCAAAAAAAAAAAGTCTTTGGTTTCTGGTAGGTGCGCGCGTCGCCGTAGCCATGCGCGTCGGCAAAATGAAAAAGTTTTTTTTTTCAATGAAAGATGATGTCTCAAAACCGCCAAACTCACTGGTTTGACTGGAATCCTGCTGCTGCACAATTTTAACGTGTTTGTAGATGGGGTTATGATCGAGAATAAGCTTTATGTGGCCTCTCTCGTCTCCCATAATATTTGCACTAAGTTTAGTTGGGCACCATTTGCAGTCATCAGCCGACATTTGAAGCAAAAAAAAACAGGTAAAAAAAAAAAAAAAAGCCGCGTCGCCGCACCACTTTTTGGGCAAGCTCCATACCAGAAACCGGAGACTTTTTTTTTTTGGCCTAACAGAAATTTCCAACAGTGCATACCGTTGGATAGGCCTTCTTTCGTTGATTTCTTCTAAATGACAGTTTGCCAGGCAGAAAGAATAATTTCATAGTCTAAGTGAGTTTAGTCCCCTCACTATCTTTCAACCAAGTATGTTGCAAGTCAGTTACTTTTTGGACAGCTGCAAAATGCAAATGATGGACCGTAGCTTTAACTTCTCTAATAAAAAAAATGCTCTGCAGCCATTCATTTTATCACAGAAACTGCTGTCTTGCATTATGCAATTGGATCACTTCAGACTGCCCATGGGGTAGTCCAAAAACCACTCCAACTGTCTCTTCAGAGTTTAGCTTTGGGGTGTTTGGCTTTTTGAAAAACCACTTGTGCATTTGCTTGCATACCATGGGTCACACTTCAAGCACTGTTTTGCTTGCAGGGTGGGGGGGGGGGGAGATCTGCAAGAGGGAATATTCAGGAAATGAGAGGGTCAAGTCTTTTTCTCTGTTCAACTGTTCTCCATTGAGTGGCGCATTAGCCTCCTAGCTACATGTACCTGGGGCAAATTTTATGGAGAGCTGCACAAAAATATGCTTAGCATGAGATGTCTGCCCTGGCAAAAACAGGATAACCAACCAAATTTCTATATGATGTATAGGCCTATTACTTGTGATTGGTATTCAGCTGTTGTTTGCTTAGCATGAAAATCACATGGAGTTTGGCTGCTAACCTGCTTTTATAAGCCAGCTCCATTAAATTGGTCCCTTGTAATTCTTTAGCCTTGGCAGTGGATAATTCGAATATCCTAAAATTATAATTACAAAATCTAGGTGTGGTATTGTGTATGCACTGGTACATGTACACATGTACCATTTGTAGTCAGGATCAATTAAAGGCAAATCAGATCATTTGCAATTTGCAGAAATGTACCTGACAAAATATTGTTGAAAAGTTACGTGTCCTAGCATGCCTAGTAACAGCACTAAACTCCCTGTGAAATTATTCTTTCTGGGACGCTGTCATTTTGAAGAAAACAAAGAAGGCTATTTCCAAAGATGTGTCATTTCGAAATTCCTATTAGTAGTTTATTTGTACTTCGGTGAATCCCTGAATGGGTGTGCGCAAATGTTGACACAATGCACACGTACACGCGCTCGGTTGCTACATGTATTATTCATCGGTTCAGTGTGTGACATCGCGGAGCTGCAAACTGCTGAATGAGAACGTGCTCCAGATGCTGATTTTGGACGTAATTCAAAACATGACTCTGCAACTTTGAATTGAAATCGTGATCCTAGAATATTGTTTTCTCAAAATATATTCACAGAGCTACGATACATGTCAAAGTTCATCCCGTCCTAAGATTTTGAGCACTTTTGTTGCTTCAAACCAAAAATACGCACAAATGACGACTGATCTACCCTACCTTTAAGAAAATTATTAATTTTGCAGGATTGAGGCTAAATCCTTGCAAAAAGGCCAAGGGTGGGAGTAGTATTTTAAAAGCTGTAATATTTCTGGCGATGGTCACAGGATACTGCATGAAGTTGGATATGTACATGAACATGTACTTTGTCAGATTGGTTTTGAATGTAAATACAAACATGTATGTTGTCCATTACTTGTAACCATTCATGAACGTTTTGCAAAAATTTACCAACATTTAACCGTTTCCTTTTCCAATCGTAATACTTTTCTACTCAGGTTGGAAAGGCTGTATCTTGGTGGCAACCAGCTTACCAGTATACCCTTAGAGCTTGGTTCTCTACCTCGCCTTGCGTGCCTGGTGCTGAGCGACAATCGCATCGAGACGGTACCCTCCGAGCTCGTCAACCTCCGCAGTCTCAAGTCGCTTAGTCTCCACAACAACCGCATCACCACCCTGCCGCCTCAGATCATCTCCCTGGGCGACCTGTGTGAGCTCAGCCTGCGAGGGAACCCGCTGGTTGTGCGTTTTGTGCGGGATTTCACCTGGCAGCCCCCCTCGTTGCTGGAACTCGCGGGCCGCGCCATTAAGAACCGCGGCATCGCGTATACTGCGGAGGACCTACCGCTCAGTCTCATCGACTATCTAGATTCAGCACGGCATTGTCTTAATCCTAAATGCTCAGGTATGTTACCATAGACAGTAAACCTGCAGTCGATTTCACGATTACTCCACATAAAGTGTATACATGTACATGTAAAGGATCCCCCTAAAAAGTCCACTGCCTCAGAGTCTGTGGCTACCAACTGCAGGAAGATCCAACTGTGGCATTGTTCAATGGGACTTGTCACAGAGGTGGCCATATACATTTGTACATGGTGCACTGGTGTTAATAGCTCAATGCAACAAGGTCCCAAGGACTGGTGGACTTGTTTCACAGAGTGCACTTGCCATCAGGTGATTTCCCCTTTTCAAAACCTGGGCCCTTTTTATACCAGTATTTTCGATGTTTATCTCTGACTGAGCCCAGTGTAACATCATCTGGTTAATTCTTAATCAGCAGCAGCAGTTAATCAGCACCAGCAGCAGCGACACCGAATACTCGTCTTAACTTGCGACTCATTCTAGGATCGATTTCACTCAATTTAAGATGGATTCAACTCATTCTTATTTCCTTAACAAAGCAGCTGAACTCATCTCGGATCAGTCTAAGGGTAGCCTTATCTCAGTAATGTTTGAAAAAAATCTTAACATGATTTCTTTTTACTTCACAGGGGTGTACTTCAGCTCACGAGTTGAGCACATCAAGTTTGTGGACTTCTGCGGCAAGTACCGCCTACCCCTGATGCAGTACCTTTGCTCGCCCAGCTGCACCAGCAGCAGCAGCGGCAACTACAGTAGCAGCAGCTACACCAGCAGCAGTGACACCGAATCTGATGAGGAGGCAGCCGTCCCAAGCAACAAAATGAAGAAGGTTCTTCTAGGATGAAGTGACCGAGGACAAACCGTGCTTCTGAATTTGTGTGCTACATTTACCAACAGTTTTCATAATAATAACGATAATGTGTAGTGCTGATACGCTTTCCACTGCTCTCCACCGCTCTCCACCAAGGGTTACGTCTCGAAGTGCTTAACAATTATTACCCCTGTTCAACAGGTCACTTTTCTTCACAGCTAAGATCAGCGCAGTCTGGTCTCCACCCTCGCAAGTACCCATTTATACACCTGGGTGCAGTGAAGCAATTGTAGTAAAGTGTCATGCCCAAGGACACAAGCACCAGGGTTCCAACCCACGTGCCACGGACATGGGTCAAACACTGTAACCATTGGACCAGGGCGTATACGAGTACATCGCTTCAGAAGGATCAAATTTCTTAATACATGTATGCCAAAGTTTGAGAGTTTTAACGTGTACTGGACAATAATGCTTTTTCAATTATTTTGGAGCCAGAGACATATATGTAATGCTAAAGCATAAAATTTAGCGCCGATGCTGTGGCTAAAAAAATAAAATGTAGTGTTTCCTGTTACTGAAAAAAAAAGTGGGTGGGTAAACCTTTTCTTTTTCCCCCCCTCTAAATTTTAATAGCCAGAAAAATGGGGCACCTAGGATACGGGTCAATTTACTTATTTATTACTTCCGCCAAGGAGGTTATGTTTTCATTAGCGTTGGTTTGTCTGTGAACAAGCTAACTCAAAAAGTTATGGACTGATTTTCATGAATTTGTTTTTTAGGATGATCCTTCGTACAAGAACAGATCGATAAGATTTTGGAAGTGATCCAAATCTGGGTCTGGGAGAGATCCGAATCTGGGTCTGGGAGATCTGGGTCTTGTCAACATATGAAAAACTGGGTCTTGTCAACATATGAAAAACGTTGACCCAATTCAGTCGAGCAGAAAAAAATGCCTCTGTGTGTGGGTCAACGCAGCGGGCAGGTGCATAGCGCACACACACTACTGAAACCAACAGGTCAATTGACTCGACCATTTCATACTATGGGGGACTGGGGAAGTGGCGGGGAATAGAATAATATGAATACGATCACACAATTCAAGATTTCTATTGTAAACATTTCCTTGGGACAAGTCAAATCGATACGATTTTGAAAGTGATCCGGATCTGTCTGGATTCAGGATTTTTTATAGCCCTAATAGTCCTGAATCCTCCAATTTAATACGATTTTGCACACCCCCTTTGAAGTTAGGGTTCAGGATTAAATCGTAGGATCACCTGATCTCCTATAGTGGCAGAGGTTGGCGCTCTCCGAGTGCTTTCTTTATTTTTTGTTGGCATGCATTCCCATGACAGCGCGTGAATCAGCTGTTCATTCTATGTTTGCTGTGCTGTTTATAGGCTTCGCTGCATGGCATGGCAAGACTGCTTGCACTGCCAACCAACTAAGTAACAACAAAAATGAAATAAAAGTTTTTAAAATTCAGGATGATATCCGCAAAAAAGTAGCGTATGACGGCACCACCATTTTAAAACAGTTTTTCAAATCAAACTATTAAGTATTTTGTAATTTACTTGGTTGGGTCATAACCGGAAGTACAGGTATTTTTGTCTTGGCCTTTGCGTGTTTCACAGGTTTAGCAAGGCATACACATATGAGCTTGTCTTACATACGCAGTGTGGACTTCCGAACAAAAGACGTCCACATAATGTAGGTAGCACCGACGTTGTGTGGACTTACCCCACGTCCACACAGTGTTTCCCCATTTCTGGAAAACAGGTTTAGAGGCATTTTTGGGTTAGGTTTATGTGTAGCAGAATGAAGAGAAACACTAAAGGGAATCATAGAAAAAAAATTGGGTTGAAAGAGTTTTCACAGTTTGAGAAAAATGAGTTTTTTCACTGGTTTTTCTTAACTACACGAAAGCAATGGAAAGTCCACACTAGTCATGTGAAACAAGTATGGGTGTACTGGCTTGTGTGCATGTGTGTGTTTTGTATCTAATAATCATGTGCTTTCATGGTCAAAGGTGCTGTAGGCAGGGTACGTACTAGTGGTGGGAGAAATCAGAGATTTCAAAATCTGGTTATCCTTATTTTTGTCAAACCGAATAACGGTTATCTGATTTGATGGGAAGTTCCCATTCAGCTCACAGTCATGCCAACAAAAAATGACGAGTGGGGTGCTGCATGCAATGCTCCCCACAATGATAGGGTATAGCTTGCAGGATTAAGTTACATGAAAATTCATGAAAATTTGCAGACAAAGAAACATTTGAAGCATATTTGAACAATGACCCTTAGATGACTTTTGACCTCCGTAATCCGATGAAGGATTGAGCAGAAGACAGTTTTTGGGTGGAATAAGATTTTTTTTTTCGTAAACTTGGTCAAATTTTATATAAATTTATATTAAATTTGGATTATGAGCAATAATAGGCCACTGTTCTGTGAGATTTGAATCCTATATTATTTTGTCATTTTTTTTGTTTCATCTTTCATTGGTTTTTTTCTTTTAATTTACTTTTTCTTCTTTTACCATTTTGTTCTTTTACACATTCAAAAGCGTGTAATTTTATCAGTGATAACCAAAAATGTCTGAAACGCTTTCGTTCTGGACAAGTTTGAAATGTTTTCAGTTGAGTACATATTTTTAGACACTAAATACATGTAGGTTGTAGCTTGGGTCTCAACCATAAACTCAAGACTTTTCAGGTTAATAGTATACAAATATTGACTGCGGTGTGGTAAAACTAGCCTCCTGAGGTGATTCATGAAGCATTCTCTTTTCCTGAGGCGTAACAAAGGGAAATGGAATGTTCCATGGATCACCGAGGGAGGCTAGTTTTACTACACCTTGAGATATTATAAAAAAGCAGTAAGTATTTGTTTTATAACACCTCTCCCACAGATTCTGCTTGATTTTAAGATAACTGATTAATGTAACCAACATCCAATTGGGTACTTCTGTTTCAATATGGAATTACATGTAGTTGAAAATTTACTCACACTTTTCCAAACTACCCTTTCATGAAATGTTTGAACCCAACTCTGTGCGCTTGCAACATACACACCTGTATGCATGTGCACGCAGTTAGAGCTGCATGGTTTCTAGGAAAGATTCCCATATCTGGCCATTACAAATTTCCCTTCAGTGACCTATTAGCCATCAGAAAGTGATACATGTATGTCCTAAAAAAAAGTCAAATTTAGCAGGGAACATATTGAAGTATTTACTGAGAAAACATTTATAAATTTTCACAGACCAGTCTCGTACGGTTTGTGCATAGGGTGACAAGTGATGGCCAGATATGGGAATCTTACCGGTTTCTCTGCTACAGTGTATACAATGTAGCACTTTTTACCAAGAAGAAGGTCAAATAGCGAATACCATGCGACTTGCTCTCTGCCAATCAAGATGAATCTACAGGTGAGGTGTTATAATGTATTTTATTTCCTTTTGTTATATACTGAAAAAAATATCTATTAATATAAAAAAAATTATAAAACCTACAAAAGATTTAAATTTTGTAATCAAGAAATAAAGCCAGACACTGAAAATGATAAAGTTTTGTTTTGTGTTGAATTTCGTCGAAACCATAATCCTGCCTCGCTCATACATGTCATAGAATAGGTGGCAAATACAATGTATATGCATCGTGTGCCAGAGTTTTGCTTTTAAAATGAAAATTTGCATAATAGCGAAAACACTGAAAATTCCCAGAAATACCCTTAAAAACCAAAGAACATGTACATGTACAAATACATGTCGTGCATTTTGCAAAGATGTGTTTGACTTTTCCTGTAATAAAAAAAAATTGACTTTGTCAATGTGCATTGCAGCCAATAAGACTTCAAATTTTCAGAAAGGTCATGTCCTCCAGGTTAGGTATGATGAAGGGTCAGCATAGTCTGAGCCAACCTCGTCCCCTGTGCTTACTTTATTTCCAACCGCGTTTCCAATAGTAAACCCTGGATAGGAAACTTTCTTCCTGTATCCTGATTGGATACCGCAATTGGCTAGTAATGGATTCTTATCGTGTACTCGGTGCTATTATTCACAACGTGCAGTACGTGTTTTCGCAATCATTCGTCCACGCCTTCTCGAAAATACTAATTTCCTTTCCAATTTGCTCATATTAATATGAAATATGATACTGCATGTTGTTTCGATAAGATCGTAACAGTTTGATTTCAAAAATCATGTTTTCGTAACTCACGCCGTGCTCGCGCTGCTATGAATTGACTCTGTTTTTACCCCAGACACCGCATACAAAAACAAACGCTAATGTGTAACGCATATCCAGGCACCAGACTGTTCCTCATTTGCATACGTGTTCAAAAATCTTGCACATGCAAATGATCCAATACCAGGGTGAGAGAGCAGGTAGTGGTGGGCGCGTACTGCTCGACACCCTGGGGACGAGGTTGAGTCTGAACATCACCCTGCATCCACAAGCCAAGTCCTGTATAATGTCTGATTTGTCTAGACATGCAGATATGCAGATATGCAAGCTGCACGCTAGCCAATCAGAGTCGACTTTACTAAATTGTGACGTCGTTTCATTCCCAAATCAGGACTAAATGGTTTGATTGGCCAATTCGAATGGAGTGTTTTGTAATACAACAGCCGGGCGCATATCGCGTAACATGATACAGAGCGCGTGACACAGTTTGCTTTTATCCATTGTCTATGACGCACATTGTTGAAGACCTGATAGAGAAAGCAGTGTTGTAGTCGAGACCAGATAGTCCGAGACCGAGACCAAGACCACCGAGACCTGAAGTTGCGAGACCGAGACCGAGACCAAGACCAACCCCTTCAAGGCGGACCGAGACCGAGACCGAAATGGTCCGAGACCGAGACCGCGGATAATACATAACAATAATCTAAATAAAAAAAACAAGTCACTAATTACAGCTGAACAGTCTGTCCTTGAGATGATGATGTTGATGGGGATGTGAAGGAAGTGATTGAAAGCTAGGAATCACTTGTACCTGCTTAATTGTGTCATGCGATGTTTGCTTCATACCATAAACTACAACATGGCAACAGAATTTGTTATTGTCACAATCAATTAAAAAAAGGGAAACAACCTAATTTAAAGAAGGGGAAAACCTAATTTGATGAACTCCTTATACTGTTGCCACTTTTTTAAAAGCATATTTTTTTAAATATAATATTGTTTAACTACTATAAAGTGTCAATCTGATGAAGAAACTCTAACTTAGGAGTACGGCAATTTGTACTAGTTTTTTGCGATGTTGAAACTTGACAAAAGTAAAAAGGTAAAGGTGGATGTTTCATCTATTATAGGAACTAAACTAAACTGTTACAGGACATTAAACTCCACAGCCACCCCTTGGTTTCAGCAATGACTACTAACGGATATTTAAAAGCAGCTTTAATTATACATTGGACCTCCTTGTAAACCTGATTCCAAAAAAATTTGGAGCAAGAAAATATTGATTTATTTTTAAAAATTTCAGTCATGAAATATAGACTTGTACATGTAGACCCAAAAATTGAGAGGTGGTCGCCAGAGAGGCATGGCTTAGGCTGAAATGTAATGCCACTTTATTTGTGTATAATGTCAATACCATTACATACACTATAGAAGATTGATGAACCATATTTGTCTGATCTATCTTCTGTTAATCTGCCCGCCGTCATCATCGCCATTAGCCTATTTGAGAATGAGGCCGACACAATAGAAGGGCGCTGTCACAAACTGAATGTGGTGGGCGAGATGTACTTTTAGGATTCATGGCTGCGTGCGCACGCTTATTTGTAATTTGTACCAGCGCATCACCCGCATCGGCTACTATGCCGGGCGATAATACTTGAATATTTTAGTAATTTACAAGTACAACATATTGCCAATATTTCACTCTTGGTTATTGTGATGGCCGTAAACAGCATTTAGCGATTAATGGAACAAAAGTCTTCTCGACTCATGCAAACGCAACTGACATTTAGAAAGGAGACGAGGCAGGCAATTAGACTCTATTTTTGTGCGACTATGGCAGTAGCTCAATTTTTGTTTATCACAGATGAAAAGATGAATACATGGTAAGTCAAAAATAAAGTGACAGTATGATAAAAAGAAAAGAAATGGCACCCTCCATATTTGTAAAAAAAAATATATAATTGGGATAAAGAACATGTTATTGAGTAGTAACTCTGAAAATATGCATTCTCTATTCCCAAGTCGTGCCTATTTTAATAAAGAGATTACAAAATTCAGCTGTCCACCACTAATAGCAATTTAACGGTCTACGAATTGATGAATATCCATTAATAAATATAATGAAAAAAACACATTTTCCCGCCTCCACGAATAAAGTAAAAATTGAAAAGGAAAATAGACAAAAGATCACCAATATTTCTGGGGAAAAGAGTTGAATTGTTTCCCATATTCAAATCAAAAAATCTGACGGTAAAAATAATGCTTCAATCTTGATTCATTAGATTTTAATCTCAGTTGTATTTAGAATCAATGAGGATGGCTATAAAGTGCTTGTTTCAACAAACCATCCCACAATAAAAACAAGAAACAAGAAAAGGAGCAATGGTTGTTGGACTATGCCTCACTCACTAGAAAGTGAAGAGATACATGTTTATCAGCATTACACTGCAGTCACATTTGCCCTCAACTGATTCCCTACTTAATCCTAAACTGGGGCCGGGGCGGAATCCGCCCCCTCACTTTTTGGCTGGTCTGGACTCGAGACCAGCCAAAATATCGATACCAAAGGGGACCGAGACCGAGACCAAGACCGAGACCACAGCTCCCGAGACCGAGACCAGCAAAAAGTGGTCTCGAGACCGGTCTCGAGACCTACAACACTGATAGAAAGCGCCCGCTATGATTGGTCAAAATCTACAGGTAAAGATGCGGTTGTCTGGCATAATTAATCAGCGAATTTGCTCAAATGTAAACTGGGGTCAGACTTGAAACGTGTCCATTTCTCTGCTCCATTCATAAATTCCTGAACCCAACCTTGTCCCGGGGGCTTACTTACTATATTCAACCTCGTTTCCAATAGAGAGAGAGAGAGCAGGCTAAGGATTTTAGTCCATGATGATGACTTTATTTACAGATGGAAGTGCAGCAATCACAACACAAATGGTACTGTATAGAATTTTTGAAAAGAACGTGCTTAAAGAAACATTGCATGCCTTTGCGTTGCATTTCTAATAACTTTGTTCCTGTTTGGCATCTGGACAAGAAAAGTGTTTCGTTTTGGGATTAAACAAATATTGTCCCACTAGGCTATCAACTTCGGTCCACAAATTCGGCCACAGGTATCAAATTTTCGAAAGGAGCAATGCTTATAACAACTTTTGGCAAGTTAATATGCACATCTATAGTTGGAAAATGTGTGAAAGCTTTAATTTGCAGTGAGAGCGGTGGCAGTTTTTTGGGTGTTGTCACTTATAATTTGTTTTTTCAAAATGGCCGCCAATAGGCTTGTTACCGGATTAATTATATGTGGTAACAAGCATGTCGTGGCCGCCATTTTTTTTAAGAGTGATAACACCCAAAAAGCTGCCACCGCTGCAATGCTATCACATATTTTCCAACTACAGGGGTGCATACCTTGGCAAAAATCACAATGAGCATTTTTGCCCTAACTTGATACCGACCAAACCCCCAGGCTGATGGCCTACAGTGTTAACCTAAAGTGAACAAGAGACTAAAGATGTAACATGTCGAGACTTCAGGGTGGTACAAAAAAAAGGTTGCACTTTTTCAGAGGCAGATTTCTCGGAATTGGGGAGACATGTTGAAATTAATTTAAGATGTTCCTAACCTACAGGATCTTTGTGGTACATGTATATGGTGAAAATGGCACTGAAAATAAAGCCTTCATTAAGAAATGGCAATAGTTTAAAAAAAGATGGTCAAAATCCAGTTTGTCAACATGCAAGTCTATGAAATCATGGTCAACGCAATAGTACCGTTTGCACAAAGAACTGCAATAATGTAAATTCAATCTACATTATATTACATAACTGCCATACACTTGGACAAACTAGTTTTCAACCTTTTCTGTAAATGGCGGCTATTTCTTAACTTGAGCTTTATTTTCAACGCTGTTTTCACTATATACCATCAAGATCTTGTAGTTTAGGAATATATTTAAACAGTTTCAAAAGATGCCCATCTCTTCGTGAAACAAAAATTCCATTTGAGCTCTACTTTTACAATCTTCTGCGCAGTGTGTTTTGCCATAGGAAGAGGCATGCATGTTTGCACATGCGCGTCTGAAATGTATCAAAGATGTCCGTCCCTTCCTGAAAACGGAAATCTCACTGTACCATCCCTTTCCATCAGTAAGTTTTTTTTTGGTGATACCAACATGTTGGCATCTCTTCGTGAAAACACAAAAAGCAATTATGGAGATGTCAGATGTCTGCCACCATACAAAATTAATGTTACTAAGACGTTACTCAGGTTTTGCATGAAGAAGCAAGTCAAAATGGTTGAGAGCGATGTTTTAAAGCAAAAAAAAGTAAAAATCTCAAAACCGAAATAATTTCACTCATTGGACATGTCCATCCCTCAATGAAAAAGTGACGATATGTCCTGGTACAGCAACTCTGGTTCTACTACACAGTCAAACATGAAGTTGCAATACTTTTTGGGAGGCTCGCACAAATGTTCTCAGGCATGTCAGGAAGGAAGATGCTCACTGCACGCTTCAGCTTCCAAAAAAAAAAAGAGTCTTTGGGGGAAAGTCCACCCAACAACTATCAGTTACTCTAAGAGCAATCATTTTCGTCTGGCGTGTTTGGTGTCTTTTTCCCCTTGATGTCGCTTCTTGGCTTTTCTAGAAGACTTGTGACGGTGACTGCTACTATGATCTTGCTCCTCTGACCTATCTCTTCTCTCGGCCCGACTGCTGCTTGAAGCCTTCGTGAGTTCCTTGCGACGCCTTTTTTCTCTCGTTTCGTCTTGGTCCTGTTTATGCTCCATCTCGCCATCAACTGTTCTTTTCCGGTGCTGCCCGTTGTCGACACCACGTGTCTTTTGAGAATCTGGACTTGTATGTATTCTGTCTTTGCTTCTGTGGCCATTCACCTTCTCGTCCTTGTGTCGCCTTTCTCTTTTCCTGTCCACGCTGGCTCTTTTTTTACCCCCTTCCATCTTGTCGCTATGCCTCAACCGTTGGTTGGACTTTTCAGGGCTTCTGAAGGGCGCCCTCTTGTGGTAACTTGTGTCATCTTTCACTTTGGGGTGCTGGTTGATCCTGCTGGCAGACCCGTCAATAGAGGGCACCCTTCTGTGTTTACGGCGGTGCTCGGACTGTTCTCTGTGTTGGGAGCGGTGAGTCCTTTTTCTGGCTGCGGAGGTTTTTACTTGTTGCTCGTCGGACGATGCGGAGGAAATATCTGACTCGGAAGATGAGCTCCAGCTTTCTGTGCCTTTGTGCCGCTTGTTGGAGGACAATTCCCACTGGGATTCACGTTTCCTGCAAAATTGTCAACAACCATGCAATGAGTAAAGGATGAAATAAATTTACTATAGGGAACTTTGGCAGTGCTACCCAAGACAACCCAAGCATACGTACCCTAAAAATTTAGCTAAAAATGAATAACTTGTGTTCTGCTTGAAAACCAGTTATTTATACAGTAAACTCCTGCTAAACCGGCATTGTACAACTCGTCAAATCGCTCAAGTCGGCCGTCTGACTGAAGTCCCGATTGTCCGTAATGCATTTCCATTGATTTTTTTATTTCTAAGTCGGCTTTTATAAGTCGCCATTTTGCTCAAGTTGTCGTGTTACTCTCGGTCCCCTTTCCATTAAAAGCATTACAAAATCCTTTGTGTAAGTCGGCATTCAACAAATCACGCATTGGCATCGACTTCCTGTACTGCGGTTGGCAAAGTGTCGAGTGAAAAGTGGTTTCGCACAGCCCGTGATTGCTGCATGCATCAGTGTCGAAAAAAGTCCTACTGCATACCAGTACGCGGTGTTATACGATCTTTGCTGCATACATCGTATATACATTCTGAGTATATCAATACCAGTACCCCTTCTAGTCTGTACGCATGTGCTCTGTCCATTTTGGGGGTCGTCTTATTGAATGACTACTGCTGCAGTCAATGCGTGCGTGGTATATACCGGACCACGCACGCATTTAATTTGTTACTGTGCACGTACATATGTATTATGGTCTCCACTATCAATACCCCAAACGTGATGATACAATTCGAGGATTAATTTGCTGGATTCAACTCAAGCATTAAGGAGATAATCCAGGGTAAATCGGAGCCTATTAGTGTAATGAATCATATGCGCAAAAGACCATTCATGTAAGTTGGCAAAATGACGACTTATAGCAAATATCAGCATTCGCCTAAGAAGTCACAATTTCTTGGGTCTCGAGAGTGCCGGTTTAGCCAGAGTTTTCTTCATGTGTACAAAATCAATTTTTGTTGTGATGAACCTCAAAAATAGCATGAAGAGAGAAACTTATAACAATGATCACCGCCACTCTACTGAATGGCTATAATACAGATTCACTTTGAGAAACAAATCGTTAGGTTTCTCAGCTAAGCTGTTTATATCTCTTCCTTGTAAGGTACATGTACGCAGTGTAAAATGTACTGGTATTGAAACCAACACGTTTCATTTTTCCCTGTCTGGCATCCCATACCATAGTGTACGTTAGCTCATTGAATAATCAGAATTAATGATGCTAGTCAAAGACTTAACTAGCATTAAAGGTAGGGTAGATCATTTGTCATTTGTGTGTGATTTTTTTTTTTGAATTAAGCAACAAAAGTTCTCCAAATCTAAAGACAGGTGCTTAACAAGTTTTAGCTCTGTGAATGCTGTATATTCCGAGAAATAATATTGTAGGATCTCGGTTTCCATTCAAAAGTTGCAGTGTCATGTTTTGAATTGCGCCCGAAATCAGGGTCTGGGGCACGATCTCATCCAGCCGATTACAGCTACGCGATGTCACACAGTGAACTGACGAATAATAGCAACCGCACGCACGTGTGCGTCTTGTCAACACTTGCACGCAACCACACACAGATTCGCCGAGTTACAAACCAACTACTAACGGAAATTTCCAAAAATGTGTCACTTGACGCAACTTTGGAAATGGGCAACTTTTATTGTTTTCTTCAAAATGACAGCATGCCAGAAAGAATAATTTCACAGGGAGTTAAGTGCCATTAACTATCTTTAAACCAAGTAAGTTTCTCCACAATAATTTTGTCAGTTTCTTTTTGGATAGCTGCAAATGATCTACTCTACCTTTAACCTAAGTGAAATTAGTGGCACTTCGGTTAACTGTCACATGCACTCAAAGCTGATCACCCATGTACCTCTTGTGTTTCCTTTTCATCTTCTTCCTCCTTTTGTCCTCTTTATCTTCTTCGTTGCTCATTTCATCCATGGAGTCTTTATTGATGAACTCCTCTGGGTACAGCTCCATAAAGCCAGTGTGACCCCACCTAGAGGAGAAAATCAGATTGTATTGTTATCACCATGAACATCTTCATCCCTTAAAAATTTGTTAAAGAGCCATTTTCCCTTGAAATTACAGTTAACTAAATTTTCACAGATTTTTAAAAATATTCAGCCAGATTAGGAGTCCGTGAAAACACCCTTAAGAAAGTCCTTTGTTTACCCATGGAGATAGACCCAGTGTACCGTTATGTATAACCAATGATAATCCTCAGTGGCCAGGGTCATTAAAAAAACGTGAAAATACCCTTACAGGATTAGTCCTATATGAGCCCCATGTAAATGTCCGTGAAACATCTCTTAAAGATCTTTTCACGGAGCAGTGGACTTTTAATGAAAATTTAAGGGATCAGATGTTCATATGGTATACGATTGTGAAATCTCAAAGGTTGAGAACCATTCAATGATAATAAAGTGCACGTATCCACCAGTATCAGTGCTCAAGACGCTACATCATTATTACCCTGCTCACTGGGCCATAGAAACATTCCAAAGACAATCTCAGCTCCCTGGGAGTATGGGCTCCTTGCACCAACGAAAGAGGGTGCCCTTTTACCTAGCAGCGATGTCCCATATGGGTGGGACATTTAGTTCGTTGATGCGTACCATTCCTTGTGTGTGACGCACGTACACCAGGGGATTTGTTCTACGTACGTGTACGTGCAGTGGCACGGTACGGTCGCGCATCGTGGCAAAGTTGCAGTCAGGCAAGATGGTGTCGGTCGGTCACCCCCAACTGCACTTTCTTTGCCGGTGAGGGGGTACTTGTGACAAAGCGGATACAGGTCGATGATGCCAATTTCAGCACAAAGCAGCTATACAATCACAATAACCATCTCTGCCCTCACAGGTACCCGTTTACTCCTGGGTGGGGAGAAGCAATGAGTGACAAAGTGCCTTGCCCAAGAGCACACACACCATAGCGCCAGGTTGGACTTGCGGACAAGTTGCGGACATTGCATCAGGTGTAAGTTGCAGGATTCTAAACAACTTCCCTGCAATCGTACTGCAATCTTCTTGCAATGAAGTTATCAGTATTGGCGAGTCAAGCAGTTGCTAATGAAAATTTTCCCAGAACATGTCCAGGACAAATGCAGAGCTTCTTCTGGACAAAGAGAATGATTGTACCCTCAACTTACTCATCCCGGATATGAATTGAGACGGGCCCAGGTACAATTGGAGAACATGTTATGTAATGAAAGAACGAAATTGAAAGAACGAAATTAAAAAAACACAGAAAATCTTGCCTTTCATGGTTTCCGAGCTCCGTCCGGTAGATGTCCCTGTTGCGCTCACCGTTCCAATTCCAGCGATCTTGAGGGCTTCTTGTATCTGGGTTCATTCGCTGGAGTCGATCCATCTGTCCATCAAACCTGAATTGTTTGGACAAAACAAAGGCCTCTTATCAGTGATTCTACTAGGCTGGTGGTGGGACTTCAATCCAGATCATTTTTTTAACAATTCAGTTTGAATCCGACTTTTCTGTTTTGATTCTAAAAACCGGGTATTTGAAACCTGGCACCACGATCAATGCAAATGTGCTCATGTGTGCTGCAAATGGGCAATTCCATGCAAAAGTGGACATGGCTGGAAAGTGGAAAATGTACAAAATCTTCCAAACTACAAGCATCACAACATTAAATGTGGTGTCAAATTAAGAGGGACAACAAGATCTTTCATTTGAGTGGTGTGCCAATGAGATGGAATGTGTGCTTTTTTGGGGCTAAAATCATGGATATTTTTTTGGTAGTCATTTGGCACCTCGTTTTAACATGGAAAATGTGACTGTTATTGACAGTTTTTGTGTTTGAGGCAGAGAGAAAGGTTCATATATTATTAGAACAGAGTTTCGTTATGTTGCAGTTCATCGAACTCAGATTTTATGCCGTGTTAGAAACCATGAAGAGGAAGTAACATGAGTGACGTAACGTGAGTGACGGTACCTCCCTGTAATCTAATGTCCCTTGCATTGCATCTTAATTACACAATTATTTTATTCAAAATGGGTTTTTATATACATACATGTACATGTACAGCTATGGGTTGAATGAAAGGTAAAATAATGTTACTTCTGTGTTGCAGACTACAGTTTGAGGAGACTTTAACAACAAAATTGCAGGACAATTTTCCATGTCCTGTTTTTGTAACGTGAGTGACGACCAACAAAACACATGTTCATAAATGTAAGATGGAATTTCCTGTTAGCTCGGTGGTCGGGTGGTAAGGCATCTGCACTAGAAAGCAGGAGGTCATAGGTTCGAGTCCCACCCGAGTGATTTTTTTCCAACTTTCACTCAGGCATGTCAGGAGGTACATTAACACACTGAGTATACATGTACAATGTTTATACATCGGTGAAGGGCAAAACCTAATTTGAAAAACACATGTTCTCAAAAAGTCAAATGAAAGGATTGAATTTTTCTTTCCATTTTTTCAGTACCCCTTACCCCAAGGTTGTTGCATGGCTGGTTTGATTCAGCTTGATCAAATACTTTTAAAGCAGTGAAAGGTCAAAGTAGCCTCATGGCATATAAATGTAACGTGAGTGACGGTGGAATTGCCCAAATGTGAAAGTGAGAGACCGTCACTCAGTTTAAGGTCTTTGATGGGCTCGGACATCAGCTAGGTCACAGTGCCAAATGCATTGGGTGTCAGATACGAATGAATGCAACTTAAGTACCTTTCGCGATTGAGCTTGCGCCCTCTCCTGCGTCGTGAAGAGAATGGACGGTCCCTCCAGCCGAATGCCTCCTGAGCTTTGCCACGCCACATCTCGTCTTCCTCCTGCAGCCGATTGTGCGTCTCCGTGTGACGAATGATGTTCCGGAGCAATTTCCGGTCCAAGTAACGTACAGTCGCCATCAACTTCTATCAAGTGATCAGCATACATAGACTACACACAGAGGTCACCATTTTTGGATAAAAGATAAAAATGTAAATCCAGCAATTAGATACGCATGTATTTTACCCATCAATTTAAAGGTATAGTCCATCATTTGTACTTTGTGCATTTTGTTCTTTTGAAGCAACAAAATTGCTTACAATCTGAAGAAGTGTGCTGAACAACTAACCTGATGAAGTTTCAGCCTCAGCTTCAGCTGTATATTCCAAGAAAAACAGCATTCTGGGATCTGGATTTCAAATCAAAAGTTGCTGAATCATGTTTTGAATTGGGCCTGAATTCAGCATCCGCAACACGTTCTCACTGAGCCGATTGCAGCTACGCAATGTCACGCACTGATTCGCCGAATTAATAGCAACCGCGAGAGTGTGCGTCGTGCCAATGCTTGCACGCACTTCGCCGAATAAGAAGCACCGTTGGAAAGGTCTTCTTTTGTTGACTTCTTCAAAATGACAGCTTGCCAGAAGGAATAATTTCACAGGGAGTTTAGTCCCCTTACTATCTTTCAACCAAGAATGTTTTTCAACAATAATTACGCCAGTTACTTTTCAGATAGCTGAACATGATGGACTGTAGCTTTAAAAGTAGAGTTGATCATTTGCAGCTATCCAAAAAGCAACTGACAAAATTACTATTGAAAAGCTTACTCGGTTGAAACTTTAAAGATACATGTAGTTACTGCACTAAATTCCCAGAGAAATAAATCTTTCTGGTATGCTGTCATCTTGAAGAAAACAACAAAAATGTCATATTTAAAGATGTGTCACGTGACACATGTTTGGAAATTTCCGCTAGTAGTTGTTTTGTAATTCAGCGAGTCCGTAAATTGGGTACGTGCAAGCGTTGACACGATGCACACGCACGCATGGTTGCTAATATTTGTCAGTTCAGTGCGTGACATCACGTAGCTGCAATCGGCTGAATGAGAATGTGTCCCGGATGCTGATTTCAGGTGTGTTATTCAAAACATGACTCAGCAACTTTGAATTGAAAACAAGATCCAAGAATATTGGGTTTTTTTCCAGAATATATACAACATTCACAGAGCCAAAACTTCAGCAAGTTAGTTGTTAATGCACCCGTCTTTAGATTTGAGCACTTTTGTTGCTTCAAACGAATAAAAAAATGTACAAATGACATTGATAATGATCTACCCTACCTTTCATGAAATATTGACAAATCTGATCACAATTAGCCTTGGTCAAGTCGAACCACACGTTCGCCGAGTTGGGATGGTACATGTACATGTACGTACATGATGTATGATGTAATAGATTAATGTAGGCCCTACTTGCAGTGGCGTAGCCCCCCCCCCCCCCACCACTGAGATTTTGAGTTTCTAAAAAAATTATCATTGATCTACATGACGCCCCCCCATGAAATGTTCCAGCCCCCCCCCCCCCCCCCCCAACTGAAAAATTCCTGGCTACGCCACTGCCTACTTGTCGATGCTTTTGAAGTGCACATGCGTAGAGGATAGTGCCAGCTCAAGAACGAAAGAATGTTGGACCAGTTGAACAGTTTACGGTAAAAAAATAGGCTTAACTATAGAATACAGGGCCACTCCAATCTTTGTCCGCGTCTCCGTATGGCTGCGTGGAGCCTTGGAGCCGCAGTCGACCTCCGAGAACTGGTCTGAACATTTCTAAGTGTTTTCTTAGTAAAAATTGAAAATTTGTCCCTGTTAATTTTGACTTTTTAAGGACGTATTATCACTTTCTGATGGCTACTAGGTCATTTAAGGGAAAAATTATGGCCAGATACATGAGATATGGGAATCTTTCTAAATTGGAAATGTTTCTCACTAAATCTCAGTCCCAGATTCATATCTTATCATCATTTTTGCAATAACTGACCTTCATTGACATTGAGATGATATGAAGAAAAAAGTGGTGTCAGGTTGCAACATTTTTTCCCAGTTTTTTACACTTCCCCCACCCCCCCCCCAATTTTTTTTTTTTTTAATTCAACAAATTACCGTAGGCCCTAGTCCGAGTAACTTGGACCCAACTTATCGCCTTTTTTAACATTTGGACATGGTCTGGCAGACCATGTCCAAATGTTAAAAAGGCGATAAGTTGGGTCCAAGTAACTCGACTTATCGCCTTTTTTAACATTTGGACATGGTCTGGCAGACCATGTCCAAATGTTAAAAAAGGCGATAAGTTGGGTCCAAGTTACTCGGACTACGTAGGCCCTAGAACATGTAGAATGAGAGCATGCCATAGGATAGCAAACTTGACAACTGCTATTTGTACATGTATGTACAATCTTTCTTCAATTTACTCAGATTTGGTTGTAATTTGCTAAAACATTTCAGTGGCTTTTTGTAGTTATAGCGCCCTCATTCGCCCAATTTAAAAAAAAAAGGACAGGTGCGGGAAAGCATAGGCAACAGAAAACTGAGAAAGGCTATTTCATTCGTTCGATTTACCGAAATAGGCCTAACAGCAGTGCTGTATATCGTATTAAAAAAAGATGTACCTTAATTTAACTGAAATTACGTGCGTAGAGCTTAATTCTTGACTTACATTTGACCGGAATCACTGCGAAATCTTAACTGTACTCGTTGCAGTTACCACATGCACACATAATAGAGTGTACAGGCTGGGCGCTCAACTCAACCTCGTCCCCAGGGTACATCCTTCTCCAACCTCGTTCAAATAGTGAGCAGAAAGCAGGTAGTGGTAGGAGCGTACTGCTCGATATCCTGAGAACGAGGTTGTAATAGTTTCGTCAATTTTTATTGGGAGGATCTATAATCTTGTCGACTAAATATGAATAATCTTTTTTCAACACATTAAACACATAAACTATACATTAGAACTTTTAAAATTAGCAAAATAAAGAAAACTGATGTGAAACATTTAGAAAAGAAAAAGATTAGGGGACCATTTTTGATTATTTCAACAAGTTATTGCTGATCAGATAGATCTATCCCTATTGTCATAGTGGTACTGCCCAAATATATTTTACTGCCAAACGCCATGCGCGGTCACACTTGGCGCGGCGCGCTTGCTGTGTACTAAAACTATGACAACCACTTCCATGTGACTTCCTCGTTGACAAAACCCTAAAAATTATTGTAAATGTAAGTCTAATATTTGTGTAATAAGTATCCATTTACGTCATGGTCATTGATCGTTTTTATGCATACTTGTGGATGACTTCCTTGCCGGTGTCACATAAAAATCCGACTGCTATGAAAATCGGACCCCTTTCCTTTCTCCTCGCACGTGACAGGTCACTCTGCCGAAATGATCCGAAAAAATAGCATACTTACGCGTGCGAAATACTACCAATGAGTCCACCGAGTCTCATGTAGTTTAGAACACCTCTTTTCGTGCTTTTATTTGATTTTTTTTGGGTGTAGTCACTGTAAATTCAACATGTTCAAGCTGAATGTCAGATGGTGGCGAAGCGGGGACCAGGGCGAAGCAGGGATGTATCATGTAGCGAAGGGGAGATGGGGCGAGGTGGGGATGGGGCGAAGTGGCTTGGGGCGAAGTGGAATGGGGCGAAGCGTCTGACACCCTTCAAGCTACACTACAGTTTATGAGTTAGACCTGTCAACGTAGCGTTGTATACAAAGCTGTGTTCATGGGTGTAACTTTTTTCATATTTTTACCAGACGGAGGAAGCTGAAATTTTGCTTACATATTGTGTCCAGAATTGTACCTGTGCTGGGTTTAGAAAAGGCAAATATGTCTGCGGGCGGCATGTTTACCGAAAATAAACCGCAATTCCACGCCTTCGTTGAAAACATTTTCACTACGAACTCCCCGTATGAAGATTACGTGCAGCACGTGCGCGCGTGCAGGCACACCTCGCATGCTGCCGCCATGGCATGAAAGTGAACCAACCCCAATTTTGCGTGTTCCATGATGCGTGACCCTGGAAGGTCAACCAAGGTATATCATTGAAAAGCACATAGCATCTGCTTTAAGATGATACCTTGCTTTTTGCTGGTAAACGGTATAGTCTGGCCATATTTAGAACGCAACCCACGCCTTCTAATTCTAGAAGTACTTGTCATGGGTCCAAATACTACAAAACACTCCAGCTAGGCCGGTAATATCCATCGCCGCATGCAAATTTTAACCGCCTTGCCTTTGTATGCAACTTTTGACCAGGAGGAAAGGCAGCTGCAGTTGACGTGTGTAAAACTTGATTGGCAAGTTTTGAGTACATACGAATATTCGATCAAGTGCAGTTTCGAATAATCGAATGCTTAATTATTGTATGTACGTACTTCTTGAAGCTTTGTTAATGTCGATTGTGTTTATAGCACGACTTGGTGTATGTATTTGGCCATTTGTTATTGAACGACCAATTTCATTGTTTGGCTTGTTCCACCAGTTTCAGTACACTATGGCGACAGGCGTCCAAAATGACCTGATGAAGCAGGCACAGCACTTTTGGTCAATGCTGGATGAGCTTGCAGAGACCGATGAAGATGCATATAAGAAGTTCATGGCCACAAACCTCCAAAGAGGACAGCAAGAATTGACACCGGCCAAGCCATGGAAGTGTGTCAAGACACAAATCTTGGTAGGTTCAGGACGAAAATATGTGTTCGTTCATATCACCCTAAAACACCCTAAAATTATGGGTTGTTAAAAAAACCCTCGAACCCCTATGACCACGACCCCTCAACTTACATTCAAGCCCCTTAACCGTAACCCTGCCAGTGGCAACACAGTGCATCAGGTGGAAAAGTCTGGTCCCTTTGATGCATTCAGCTATCAACACAAGTGCATTAACAACCAATTCTGAGAACAATGCCACAGTTGTATCCTGCTGTGTTCTGTGACCACAGACTCTGAGGCAGTTTGGCCTTGAGACTTTTGACCTGATGGATCTTGATACACTGGGCAGGCAAGTGTTGCATGTTCCTGCGTTTGGCAGGGTTTCTATCCAAAATAACCTGGAGGGTTAGGGTTCAAACACAGTCGGACCCGGACCAGATCAAGCCATGGAATACTTGCCAGTTGCTACTATTCAAAATCTTCCAAAAGTTTCCAATCGAAACGTTTTCCATCTTGAAAACGAAGCGTGTGCCCGATTCACTATGCGTGCGCGCGATTTTGCTATGCCCATTGTCCGATCCTGAATCAGATCGTATCCTTATCCGAACCTGTAAGCGCTCTATATTGTTTGAATACAGCTCCAGTTCGAATGGCTTGATGTGTGTCGTGTGCTGCATGTTGGGCCACGCCCAAATTACTTGACAGTGGCTGAAAACTTATTTCTAGCTGTAGGAAAGTAATTCGGGCCAATAGGCACGTGTGTAATTTCCAGCCGTACATTGTAGCCATGTAATTCGGGCACGGCCAGACATGCAGCACACAACGTGCACCGAGCCTTGTCTTGATAGATACTGCACCAACACCCCTTCTCAGGGGTACACGGGCAGGGTTGGTTGTGCGCCATTCAAACTAGAGCCTTTGTGTTGGTCTCAGACCTCCAGGTCTTGGTGTTGGTCTCAGACCCCTGTTCTTGGTCTATTCCAAATCTCTGACCTCATGATCTTGATCTAAGTCTCAAACCTCAAGGTCTTGGTCTCGTCTCCAACATCAAGGTCTCAGACCTCCAGGTCTTATAGTCTTGGTTCTCAGAACTCTAGGTATTGGTGTAAGGATCGGTCTCTGACCTCTAGGTCTTGGTCTTGGTCTCAGACCTCTAGGTCTCAGTCTTGGTCTCATCAGATCATCAGATAGACCTCCAGATCTCGGGTCAGTCTTATACCTTTAGGTCTTGGTCTTGGTCTCGTTCTCAAACCTCCAGGTCTCAGTCTTTGACCTTTCTATAGGTCTCAGTCTTGGTCTCGATCTTGGTCTTGGTCGGACTTCCAGGCTTCGTCTTGGTTTCGGACTACCAGGTCTCGGTTTTATACCTTTGATTTCACACCTCCAGGTCTTAGTCTTTGTCTATTCCCATTCTTCTTTTTTTCTGGACAATAATAGATGCAGCTTTTCTTTGAAACGGAGCTATAGGCATGAACTTTAAACTTGGTATGAATATCAACTCTGATATAGACATGCATGTGTGACATTATGATGTCTTCATGAATGTACCAAATTGCAAGTGATTTTAGTTCAAAAAGTGACCAATTTAGTTGATGCAAAAATCTAATATGTCTTCCTTGTTTTAGGTTCTCATCATGCTTCACGACTTGCAATGGGCTCAATATAAATGTGGATCCATTTCAAGAAAGTTAAAGTTGTGGAGCCTTTTCACTTAGTGTTGAGGGTGGAGAGGAAGCTGAGGTTTGAGAAAGGCTGAGGCTACTCTCAAATGGCTTACACATAAACTTTTCTTTTTCATTCAGAAACCTGACAAGTCTACTTTGTACATCAACATATGTAGTTGGTCCCGTATTGACAAACCCAAAACAAGCACAGAACCCATTAAGGTCACGGCTGGACCAGTGGAGGATAGAAACGACGAAACAGGTATGGACACTCATAAACTTTAGTAGGTTTCCTGGTGAAAAAAGGAAAATCAATGTGCTGTAGGGAGAGGCATATATGCAAGTATATATTTTATGGATTAACCCTAACCCTGCCAGATGCAACACAGTGCATCAGGTGGAAAACACTGGTGCACTTTAATGCACTCAGCTACCAACACCAGTGCATTAATGGCAAGCTCTGAAACAATGAGAGCTAATTATTGAACAGTGCCACAGTTGTATCCTGCTGTGTGCAGTGACCACAGACTCTGAGGCAGTGTGGCCTTAAGCTTTTCCCCTGATGGATCTTGCTACATTTGGCAGGCTTGTCACTTAGTCAAGTGTTGCACGTTGCTACAATTGGCAGGGTTCTAGCAAACATACCCTGGAGGGTTAGGGTTAATCAAGAAAAAAATAGTTAAAGTCCTTTGGGGCAGGCGTGTAGTCCAGTCCTTCACAAGTCCCTGTAAGTTTCTGCAAGTCAATCACAAGTCTTTTAGTCCAATTCAAATCACAAGCTATTAAAAGCTTTGACAAAGTCATTCCTTTGTTATTGTTTGTCCAGTGTTATTAGTGACTGGATTTGTAATTGAACTTGTGATTTACTTGTGACTGAACTTGTGATAGTCTTGACTTCATCCCTGCTTTCGGGAATGAAACACAAAACAAGATCTATAGGCACGATCCTTGTTGCACATGCCAGTGTTGTATTCAGGGTCCAATTACATTGCGCTGCTAAACAGATGATTTTCTGGTAACTGAACCTCTGTCATTTCATGGAGACCATAAGCAGTAACAGTGAAGGCACGGTTACGCACACACAATTTTCTGCTATGGGCTCCGTGCGCCATCAAAAGAGGGCGCGTATTGACCACTTTTTAGAGCCCCTTGGACAGGACACCGCATATGTGTACTGTACTGTTTCACGTGCAAAGTACGCACGACTGATCGTGCACAAAGCTAAGGTATAGTGTCTTTGCGCGTGAGCGTCAGGCATTGTCAGGCGCACAAATATGTTCAAATTTAACTGGTCTCCCAGAAAAATCCCCGCCCCCCAGTAACTTGGGATCATTTGACATACGAAGTGGATGGTCCGGGAACCAGTCTTGGTCTCCCCTATGACCCCTAACTCTCCTTTTCTTGAAGGGGTACTTGTGCACGGAGCCCATAGAGTGAGTCAAGAAGAAAGTGACGTGGATTAACAATTTTTATAACATTGTTATAAAAAGCA